CCTTTATAGTTTTACAACCTCATCCTACTCGCATCCCCCCAAAAATTAGCTTCATCTGTAACTTACCGACCCCCATGGCCTCAGAATTAATGTCATTACTCTCCATGTGGCCGTGGAGCTATGCTGCATGACCATTAGAGTGTGACAACATGGATTATTTCCCATCATGCCCCGGAGGTTTACAGGCTGCCAGGGTGGGCTGATGGGGGGCAGAGGCAGGAGAAGACAGAATAAATGCAATTTAAGTCTCAAGAAGTCTCCCTCCCGAAAAACCCAGTTATGTCTGCTGGGAGGACGGGGTGATGAGGGTCATTTTGTTCTTCCTAATGGAGCTGAAGATCGGCAGCGTCTGATAATGGGGTCTCTTTTAATTCTCTTAGCTTTCATTCACTGCTCACATCACTGTCACTCTTCTAATGCTCACCTCCCCTCCCACGCTCCACACTCACTGCAGGAAAAGGATGATTGAGAGTCCCCCAAAAAGAAGAGCAGGATTTAAAAAGTCAGTGCCTGCAGATCGATTTTGCGTAAAAAGTTCTCTTTATGCTGGAAACCCAGCAGTGAGGAATTGAAAGGTGGTAAAACAAGTGAGGGAGGGATGGCCGAACCCCTGAAGAAAAGATGTGTGATTCGATTTTCAGCGACCACATTTTGTCAACCCGCACGCCTGCATGAGATGAGTACAATTTCACAGAAGACGTGAGGGTCAGACAAGTGATTGGTCCTCGCAGAAAAACTGCTTAACAGGCACAATGTTGCCAGGAGTGTTCAGCAGTAAAACAGCAACCTGCTCAATGACAACAGCCAGAAATGAAAAGACGAGGAAGGAGGGGAGATGAGTAAATAGATGAAGGAAGCCTGGAAGAAACTCATTATTCTTGTTCACACGTGTCATACTTCAGTATTCACTCATGGGTTTGCAGTAATGATGGTGTAGCAGAGCATAAAATCACTCCTGACACAAAGCATGTGCTGTTTTAATTCTTTGCAAAATGGACAGAATTGAAACCCAGCGTAGGGCCATACATGCAGTTTGTTCCAAGCATTTCTCCCATGAGTCTGTTCATGAGATGTTAACGTGTCAGTGGTTTTGTTCATTGTGTGCTGCCTAATTGTGCTTCTATAATGGCTTCGTGATGCTGGAGGCTTGAACTTTAATTAATCACTTCTCCTCCAATGTTTGTGTTACTCTCAAAGTCCCTCACACACTCAAACTGACAGATATTATGAGAAAGAAATGCAGCAGGGTCAATGTGCAAAACATAAACTTTGTTTTTATTTTTTAAATATTTATTTTTTGCTTCATTTTTTGCAATTAAGTTTTAATTTTAAATACAAATGACATTCAAATGTTTTTGATAAACTTGTTTTCTTCTCATCCATTAAAGCACAAAGTAAGCACTTCTTTTTTTAATTTCAAGTAAGACTGCAGCAGTTCTTTTTTTTTTAGCAGATTTGGAGACAATTGACTGCTTTTTCTGGACCCAAAATCATAAATGAGTTTTTTCCCTGTCTGGTGTGATAACATCAAAAACCTGAAGTTGTTTTCGGAGTTAAACTGAAACTGTTCAACTTTCTTCAGGACTGAAAAAAGTTTAGCCTGAAAAACATTCAATCTCCTGCAGTGTCTCAGAAACCAGCACAGCCAAACCACACAGAGTAAAAAAGTCAAGATTTTTGAGAAGTTAATCATTTTATCACTTGGGGACGGCTTTAGACCATCAAATTTTAGATAGACAGATGATCATTTAATGTAGATAAAAACATAAATCAAGGCGGCAGGAGACGAATCAGTGGTAATTAAATTATAACTGTTGAAATTAATAAACAAAAATAAATATTTGATAATGTGTGTGAGTCAAAGGTGTTGAAAAATTGCATTAATTGCAAGTTATTGATCTTACCTTTACCATCTCTCCTCGGTTTTTCTTACTGCAAAAAAGTTTAAGAGAATATAATGATCACCAAACACTGGAGAACCAATAGTTTCAAAAGTCCTGCATAACTGTTGTCATCCTATTAGAGACCAGATAAAGGCACAGGATGGTGCTGAATGAAACATGCTTCATGTGTGGAAGTCTTAAATGCCTGTCACATTGTATTTATGTCTTTTGTGTGCAGCTGCAGTTAATAGAGTTCAAAGGGATTGATTTTTTTCTGCAGGAGGACATTGTGCTAAGTTTGCACTAAAGCTCTCTCTGAACTTTAGATATCCCTCCAATCTTCCAATATCTCCCAACACCAGCAGGGTCAAGTGATTATCCAAGCCTGTGAGCGCTGGTGCCGAAGGTCATGGGTCAGGTTGCAACAGTCAGAGGGGTATTGATCAGTCCTGGGATACTTAGGCTGATTGAGGAGTGCAGTAATTGGCCCATTTTCTACAAGTCTTGTACTTCTCCAGCACTCACCTATTAGGGTTTTGAAGATCAAGTATTTACACTCCACCTTATCTTACTCTGACAAATATTCTAGTAATAAATAATGTAAATAAAATAAAATATACAGTACCTGTTTCTTCTGAGGATTAACATTTTCTGTCATTGTCCTACAGCTATCTTATAAGGATGAAGCCAAATAAATTTACACTGCAGAAGAAAATGCTAAATATCTGGAGTTCAGATCAGGTCAGGAGCTCATCTGCATACAGAAGTCCTAAGACACAAATAAGTGTTTACATTTGAAGTTCTGTATTTAAATTTGCTCAGTGACAGAGAGCACTGGAGGGCAACGATGAAAACAATGATCTCCTGACACACAATCACACACATTCTGGCTGCAGGGTTTGGCTCTGAATGCTTCAGGGGAAAGAGGAGGCTACGTTGCTGTGGTGAGTGTGATGGAGAGCTTGTTGTTTTTGATTGACAGCTTCTGTGCTTATTCGTCCCGGGGTGCGTGTGTGTACGTGTGTGTTTCAGTAGGGTAACTCAGTGTGGCACATTTCCCTTTTAGACACCACAAGTGTCCTAATTAGCATACATTCGTAAGCGTTGCATCCCGGCAGAATGAACGGTAGATTGAAAATGAATCCGTTTTACATCAAAACACAACTGGCAAATAATGAGAAATTAATTTACACTTGTTTTTATTTTACAACGTGACTGAGGGATTTTTTTTTGTAATGTAAAGCCTATTAACAACTGTCATTTGGGCGGTTTTGAGGCGAATTTGAGTGCTTGGACTGTGTGAAGAAGTCAGCAGGACTGGCCCCTAATGAGCCTCTTCATGCCCTCCCTGTCTTCTTATTAAGTATTCATGATGCTGATATTTTTAACCACAGATATCAGTGTCGGGGTCGTTATAGAGAGGCTCCAAAAACATGCCACACTGTGGCTGGATTTCCAAAAATTGATAAAAACTGTGCCACCTAAAGTCTGCCCTGCTGTTGGTTTAAACTGGCTGAGGGGGCGAAGGTGCCATTTTGAGAAGTTTTACAGCTCAGGACTCAAACATTATGTGAGCTCCATTCATCACGATGACAGGCAATAGTATTTTATTTCACACCATGTTCACATAAATGAAAATCTGTTTTGTAATTCAGTTAAACATATTGTTCAACATGAGATGTTTTTGTCAGTATAATAACCATGCAGTACATATTTGATAGTGTTGCTTTGAATTTGATTGCTAGTTTTGGAAAGTTTGACAATCCCTTTGCAATGTTAACACAATTCCAATTAGAGGCATGCCTTCTTTTCTTTCTGTATACAATCACTGTGGCTATTCACATGCCAGTTTTGTGCATTAAACCTCAAACCCCATCTTTGTTAACTCTGAAGTGTAAAAAAAAAACAACTGCACATGATGTCAGACAGTATGCCACCTTTTCTACTTTGTTTTTTTGTGCTCTTCTTTATAATGAAGCTATTTCATTGGTGTTATTTGGTAAAATCAAAAACACAGCATGAGAATTGGATAAAGCATGTGAGCAACCAAACACACTTGCCTCTGTTTGCAGCCAGATCACAGGATGACTGTAGGGAGCATTTTAGGCTCTGTGTAAAGTGAATGGGTGCTGAAGGAGTGGATTGATAATGCTAGTGGGGATCCTGGGTTGCTCTGTTTGTGAGGACTGGCATGGCAGAGGAAACTCTCTCTATCATTGATTTTTTTTTTTTTTTTGTACCGTGGTAAAATGAAAGCTGAGGTCCTGATGATACTTGGGAGAGGCTGACCCCAGATGTGCAGCTGGGAGGTTCTGTTGCATTATTATGTCTCTAACTGCTGTTGTCACACTATGCTGAAAGACTCAGCGAAACAAAAGCTTTTGTTGGACGCTAGGACTGTGTCCCTGGTTGTTTGGATAGTTTGTTAATTTAATGCCTCAGTGACCAGGCATCTGGTAGCTCTCCAAATTTTCACAAAGCTAAATATTAAAATTAGTTCAAGAGGTGCCCATAGTTTAAGAGTTATGCAATCAGGTTATTCTTTCCATTTCTACATCAAAAAAAAAAATTTTTCCTCTTGATTTGTGCATGATGTAGATGACCTCTGTAAGCCTAATTTCACTTTTCCAACCTGACATTCTTCAAAAAAAAGAAAAAAACAAAAACAAAAATATGGCTCTCCACAGAAAGGTTTTACATATTGTTTCTTTGACTTTTATTTTACTTCCTCTAAAGTTTTGTATTTATGTGTAATTTCTGTAGCACTTTAACAAGTGAAACTAAAGTTGTATGATTTATTTATGTGCACAATCCTAGCCAATAAATCTGATTCTGATCCCAACGACAGAAAAAAGATTTTGATATTTTTGAAGACATCAATAAATTTGTAACAACTTTTGAGATAATCTATTTCATTATTTCCCTCTTGGATCTTTCTGTCATAGAGTGGCAGTTTTGTAATTTTTGGTGTACAAAAGAATTACATTTTTATGACTTTTGCTTATAATTGTATGCCTATTTCAGCCTATCATATATATTCAAGGTTGGGTTAAATAAAGTCTTGTAACGACACTTACCTTGATTTCAGCCAAAATGGCAGGAATCAGTCAAAACAGAGAATATCAAACTGTATTTATTTTCATTTTGATATAATTTATACTTGATTAAAACTAAGATTGACTACTGAGTATAGTGGTGCATAAATAAAACAATAGATTTATTGTAGACATGCACAATTCTTCTCAGAATGATCCAGTAAATACGTGTCTTTTGTCTATTCCTTCGTTACGAAGCACAGAAATCACAGTATTTCCAGTAATAGTTTGTTCTCAAAGAAAAAAAGACCCACAAGTTGCCTAAAAGACTTTCTTGCCCCATTATAATTGCTTTTTGTTGTTTACTGTATGCAGCACCTTCTCGTGTTTGATGGTTGCTGTCCAGATTTCAGCGGTCAGCATTCATTTTTCGCAGTTTTGGTGGCAGATTGTCCTCCAGCCTCCCTCCAGCTGACAGAAGGGGGCTATGCATGGGCACAGGAGTGGGTGACAGCGTGGTTGGAGGGCTGCACTGGTACAGGTCTCCTGTTGACTGTGTCATGGGCTCAAAGCCCACCTTGAGTGACTTGAGTTGCAGCCGATTTTGTGCTCCTGGGCTGGGGGAGGAGCTCAGCCTCTGCAGCTTCATGGGGAGGTCCCCTGTGCTGCACGCCTTCTCTGCATGCTGGGAGGTGAGCAAAAGCACCTTCCTCTGCAGGTCCTCCTTCCCGGACGAGCTCATCCTCTGCAGCTTGCTCGGCAGCCGGCCGCCTGCTCCTCCCTGACGGCCCCTCTCCTCTGAAGTGTTGATGCAATCCACGGAAAACACCCGGTCACGCCGGGCGCCGTGGCTCTCAGTCAGTGCGGGGGTGGGAGTGGACTGAGGTGAAGGCAACGAGTTTTTTTCCTCCTGCTCTTTGACGCTATATGGAGGTGTTGGAACCTCAAATGTGCTGTGGAACTGAGAGTAGTCCACTCTGAAAAAGCCTTCCTCCAGAGACATGACGGGCAGGAAGCGGTGGCCCCATAAAACCTCATCTTCGGTGTATGATGTCCGCGCTTGGCATGTCATACCTGCAAAACAATGATGGATGATTAATTATCTCAATGACTTTAAAGAGGTGCAAATAAGGCATGCCTGTATGGAGGGATACACTTTTTACTCAAAAACAAATTAATCACCTGAAAATGCAAAAACAATCTGCATTTAATGGATTTCTCAGTTCAGGAAAGCAAATATGAGCTCTTAAAGTCTAATATATTGATATCTTTCTTGTCACAAAACATTTACTGTAGTGAAATAACAAGGACGACATTGCAAGAAGCTAAGAACTAAGCTAGCTAACAAATAACTTTTCAGCAACATATAACTGCTTATTTAAGTAAATAATTCCATGATATTGATGAAAATGACTAGTTCCACTGTCAGATTATTTCACTTTTAACATGGGAAAAATGTCTTGTTAAAAGTGAAATAATCTTTCAGTGGAACTAGAACTTTTTCATCAATATTAAGGAATCCTTCACTTAAAACAAGCACTTATACCTTGCTTAAAATTACTTGTAAGTTAGTTTTAAGTTGTATATCAAGCATACTAAGATATTTGCACTAGAAACCAAAAAATATAATATATATATACACTTGGTAAGAGTTTGTTTTTTTGAAGTGAAGTTCAATAACTTCAGGCAGCAGCCACTCACATACACACATCAGAGGTTTTTGATGTGGGTCAGGAGTGCACTGCTCCCTCATGTGGAGGACTTAAACTTTGTATTTTCTTTGAGGGTAGAGCAGAAGATTTACAGTTTAGTTTTGACAGCAGCCACACTGGGGTTGCTCTGTTAATGGTTAAAAAAGAGCAGAGCTAAATGGAGACGGTTGTTTTTCACTCCACACTGGGGAAAGTGAAATGAGCTTCCTATAAAGAGTTTCTGGTTTAACCAAAGAGACAGAAGAAATCTGACCTGCATGGAAGAGTTTGAAAAACAAAAAGCTGATCAGAGGAGACTGAAACAGAGCTTCCTGGCTTCCGTTCATATGACTTGTTGAGGTGGAAACTAAAATAGTTTATCGCTCTGAATCTACCATAACAATGCTTTCTGAAGCAGCAGCTGATCAGTTGATGGGTAGATCAGATGCAGGTCAAGTCTATAACCACCTGCTTAAGGCTGAAAATGAGGCTGAGTCTCAACTTCCAGCAGGACAGTGACCCTCAAAGGTCAGCCAGAAGTATAGTGGACTTGTTCAGATCAAAACATATTGATGTTTTAACTGGCCCAGTCAAAGTCCAGATCTAAAAACAATCATTTCAGTCTGTACATCTGCAAAGTTATTAGAGAAATAGCAATTACCACTTGCAGCTGTAATTGTAGTAAACGGTGTTATAAAATGTTTACTGGTAAAAATTTTCTTCCACCTTACACGTTTGCCCTACTTTTGCTGCTCTGTCACATAACTTCCCTAAAGATAAAAGAGATTGTAGTTTGATGTTTTAATGTGACGAAATCTGAAAAAAACATCAAGTCATGAATATGTCTGTAAGTAATTCTTCATCTGCCATTTGGCATTCTTTATTGAAGCAGAAAGAAGCACAAAATAAGATATAATGACCTGCAGAAGGTTTAAACCAGTCTTAGTCAATTTAGACTGGTTTGCAAATAAACCAAACTTTCTTGCAATCTTCATCAATACTGTTCTTTGGAAGGTTTTCATATCTTTGTCCTTCATAACACCTTATTCCGCAATTGTTTTTAAAATACAGTGGAGGACAGAAGATAGCTATTTGCAGCAGCTGAGAACCACTCACTGAAACAAATAATATTTAGATGTCAAGTTTTTTACTAACAGGTAATCCATGTCCATTTTGAAACAGGTTAAACTGTTAGAGTTTTATTGGTTAGGGTTTAAGTGGCTTAAAAAAAAGAATTCCTTTTATGTACCAAACTGAAATTGAGCCAATTTCAAGAGAAATAATTATAATTTCCAAATATAAACATTAAGTTTGTGATGGTGTTTTGGGTCTCAGTTCTACTCACTGCATTCTAAGATATGCACCATTCTGCACCGGTGGAGATTATTTTTGCAAAGCGCTGCAAAAGGTCTCATATTTAATTTTTTTAGAAAAACAATTTTTTTTAGGTTTATGATGATCAATAAATGCACAGCTGTAATTTCTGTGTTGCAGTCTGTGTTTCTGTAGAGCTCTGCAGTTAGCTGAAGAGTAGGAGTATTATCGCGTACCTCTGAGCGACGAGGGGTGCAGTGTTATGTCATAGCCTGATTCTATTCCCGGCTCACTACACTTCATGTAACGAAACCATTTAACAGCGCTATAGTACCTCAAAGGTCACTTTTTAAAAATACTTTAGCCTAAAGTCTTAGCTCTGATTACAACAATGAGGACTGTGTTAGTTTTCAAGCACTTTTATTCAAAGAGGGCTGTTATTTATTGTTTTCTCATTTCTGGTCAACACACATGACAACAACAATATAGGATCATTGGAGGCTTGTGGCTTGTGTCCTTGACAGGCATGCCATTTTAGCTTCATCTCTCAGGCATCATATGGGTATCCACCCACCTGGATAATGTTCACTGCATCTTGCATAAAAATAAAAGCCCCCAGCAACACAAATACTTGGCAGACAGCAAGCCGGACATCCCAGAAGAAGGTTCTTGTGAACATTTCTGGCAGCAGCTTCCACTGAATCTTAGCTTTGGGATGCATGAATCAAGGTTCAGAGGCTTATGTTGAGTTTCAGGTGAAGTGGAAATTTTTGGATTGTATTGTACTGTCAGGAACAGATATTTAACTGGTTTATCTGCCAATTTCTTCATAAACTTGTGTTGCCAATTTTGCTGTTTTTAAGTCCAACTATATGGTGCAGTTGAGATCAAAGTTATTTATACTCCTGTCAGATTTGGATACAGATCATCCTTCTCTAATGAAAGTGTACAAAAAGAGTATTTTAGTTCCATAAAAACGCTTGTGTAAGATCACACCCTTCTTAATAACCAATGGGAAACTCTTTATTAGCACTACAGCGTCTGACCCCATGTAAAATGTCTGACAAGCATTTCTTACATTTCCAGTGGTATTTTTTACCATTTACTTTTGATGACGACATCCAAATGCTTAAAATGGGAAGAGCCTAATCTTTAGCTTTGTGCAGATTTAAATGGAAACACTTGCTGGACCACTAAAAAAATGTTAGAAACATATTGGTAAAATGTAAGTGCATTGGGTTTGTGTGTGTGTATATGGTTAGTGGTGTATTTTAGGAGGATAAACCTTTACCCCGGCTGTTATTTATTTGTGACTATATCTCATAAGTGGAATCCAAACCGTTTTGTTGGGTTTAAAAGTCAAATTTGGATTTTATTTGTTTGGCTTTATCAGAGAAATGAAATAGAAAGCCTTTTTGCTAACAATTATAAATGATCTGCCCGCTAAGCTGTCTGGGTTACGAAGAAAATGAAATGTCAGGACCTGCAAGATGTGCATGAGTCCTTGTGTAGGTGTTGGAGTTTGAGTATTTTAACATATTTCCTTCTCAGCTTCTTAGCAGCGCTGCAATGTTAATAAGACGAGCTGATGCTCTCACGCTGATCCTTCCCTCCTGCCTCCTCCTGAGCTCTGTTGTCTCCACCACAAAAGTGGCAGAGTGCAGCAGGACGAAGATGAAGATGAATTTATTTGCTTTGGACTTTAGGGAGGAATCGTTCTGTTAAATATGCAACAGGGGGATCAGTGGAGCTGCTGAGGATTTTCTCTGCAGTAAGCAGGCTCTACACCAACTCCTCCTTCTAACCGTCATCAGAGAAATGCTGCATGAAAACTCAGCACATTTATCACAGTGATGCACACTTGTGTGACCACAGGCATTTATTATGCATACAGTGGGCTTAAACTGATTATGGAGTAATAAAATATTCCTCATAATTCAATCAGGCGCTCATTCACATGTCATTCTTTCTCTCTCCCTAGCTCTTTTTTTCAACATGAAAAGTAGAAAAATAAGTTGATATTTACATTTTAACGCTGTGTGAATACTGAAGATTGGAATCAGTGGCAGCAGAAAAGTAGAAACAGGAACAGCTTTCTCACCCGTGGTCTCCACGATGCCTTCGAGGATAACGACGATCTCAAATTGTTCGTTCATGAGGGAGCGCTGCGACAAGTCAAAAAACGGACTTCTGGAATTTATTTCATGGCAGATTGTGAGAGGAGACACCAGGAAGAGCTGGTCTGCTCCCGTCCCGAAGCCAACATCCAGCTCACACTGGTCCAGGGGCAGGAACTCTCCTTCTGGTGTCTGACGAGACTGGAGGATAACGATGAAAACCAAAATGGGAGAAAAAGAAGGAAGACACGTCACATAACAAAGATTAGGTTTTGTTTAGTTTCTTTTGAAGTCCATGGAAATAAAGACAAAAATAAACACAAAAGTCTGTTTAGAAAGATTATAATTGCACTTTTTAGGCAACTTTTTTTGGCTATGAAAAGCTGGTTTCTTATGTTCAAGAAACCAGTTTGAAATTATAATAAATATTATAAAATAATTTTATGAACATTGATACATATTTTTAAGTACTAACTTCGTTCTCATACAAGTCATCAGTGCATATGTTAGTTACTTAGATGTCAAACATTGAGGATTTTCTGACAGTTGTAGTGTCCATTAGTCTCACAAGAAATGACACTTAATAAGGTTCCCTAACCCAGGCAAAATGTTTGCTTCCCTCAGTTCTAAATTTTCCAGCTAATTGTAATTTAAATAATTTCTGTATGCCCAATCTGCAGGTTTTCTCCAAAACTAATCATTCTTTCTGGATGCCCAACAACGTTCTTACCTTTTTCGTTTTTTTCATTTTTTCCAAAAAGTGTTTCTGAATACATGCACGAGCAATCCTCCTACACAAAAATCTCCACCTCTGCGCCACTCACAGCTTCTTCATCATCTCCCACACAAATATACATGCATCTCATCTCTGCTCCCTTCCAAACAAAGTATTCATGAAGTTTTACAAGAATCAATTCTCACAAACTATGTAGTCTTTAACATGTTAGTATTTATGTAGCTATGGTATATAAAGTTAAAGGAAGTATTTTCAAAAAAGTCAAATACTAGTAGTGAAGTACTTAATATTTTTAGATTTTAATTATTTATTATTTAGTCCAGTCTTGAAGATATGTTAGCACTGCATTATTTAGGGTACATTAGCGCTATAGCATTTCGGCTTCGTTATCCATGTGCCAAATTCTGCCCCTCTCCACAATAAGCGTCTTCACAGTACCTAGTTCACCCATACAGTAGTGGTGTATCGAAACTTTAAGGATATTTCTTAATATTTAAAGAAATATTAAATAGAGTTAGAGATAAACCAGCTACACATGCTAATAATTGCTATCTCACTTTGAGCAAATACACATCTAGAGATCAACTGTCTTTGTTCTGGTTTAAAACATCCGAATTAGGGTTGGGAGATGTGAGCATAGTATTCAACGTTAATGTGGAAAAAACATATTTGCATGCTAAGAATTTTGCTTTATAATGACAAAGACATTTTCATTAAGGTTTGCTGTTTGAAATATTTATTTTATGAAGCTTGAACATAAAGAAAAATCACTCTTATTGCATATGATTAAAATGTCTGGTGGTTTTACTGTTTTTGTTCCATAATAATATAAAAAAAAAACTTCTTTTATTATCATACAATTGCAGCAGGATTTTGAGACTATATGAACAAACAAATTGAGTTTTTCAGGTCATGTCAGTTTGCCTTATCCAGGTGTCGCTGGTATTTCTCTCTCACACACCAGGTGAAAACAGTGGCAGCAATGCACTTATAGCTGGTGTTAGTGCAGGTCTTGTTTTTTATCCAAGCTTTAGGCATCCTGCAGACATATTACTCAGAGTTGAGTATCATTCTGACCTCCCGGGGATTTCACTCTGCACTGCATCTGTCTGAGACACAAACTGTGGAAGAGGGGTGAGTAAACAGGCTTTGAATTGCCAGAAAACACCAGCTTTATTTCCTCTCCTGTGCAAGTCAGTGAAATTCCCCCATTTTAGCTGGAGAAGGCCTTTGATGCTGGTTCGGAGAGTGTTCGAATGTTTGGCCCTTCCAGGCTGCTGAATTCTGTTTAGTGTCATTCCCTCCATGAGGGTGAGGACGGGATCGCTGTGAGAAGTTCTGCATTTCATTTTCTGTCTTTGTCACTTAAGATTTAGAAGATGGATGACTGTATGCAAATACTGACAGTTGAAGCTCCTCACACAGGGCCCCCATGGCAATGTGCTGTGCTCCCCCCTGCACAGAGATTCAGAGATAGACGAGCTTGTCGACTGTTTTTTTTTTTCTCTTCTTTGAATCTGACATGCTGTTCTAACAAAAGAGCAGATTTCCATCCTGAAGCTCAGAGGATGAGACAACAAACTCTCATTGTATTCATTTCATTCAATGCTTTCAGAGAAATGGTGTAGAAAAAGAACTAGACATTTGTGTTGGAGAGCAATGGTTACATTTGCATGTCAATAGAAGAGTAGCTGGGTTTTTTTTAATTCTCATAAGACATAAAAAGATTTCAATGATCTTTACAACAAGAATAAAGTGCCCATATGTTCTGCTAGAACAGATTTACTCAGTATCCACAGAAACAAAAGATGGGTTTAAAGATTCACCATTGACCATTCCCTCTTGAACAAGATCTCTGGATCTCTCAGTTTCTTGTTTGCTCTTCTTTTCTGCTCAGTATTAAGCAAACTTCAACAGTGAACTTTGGAGACCTTTGTACCTCTCATACCATTTTCTCTACTGTATGTGATGTCAAGAAAAACTCAGATCCTTTTCCGGTCTTGCTTGTCAAAGGGTCCTGATCTATTCTGAGATTTTTCCTGTAAAATTTCAAGTTACAGAGCACTGTAGAAACAAAATCTTACCAAGTATTCTGGTTTAGTTTCTAGTGCAAGCATCTAAGTACACTAAAAAATATAAAGTATTGCACAAGTGAATTGTTGGAAAGATAGTTGAGCTTGTTTTATGTAAAATTTTCCTCAATATTGATGAAAAATGACTAATTTCAATGACAGAGTTTTTCACTTATAAGTAAAATAATCTGCATCTTTTCATAAACATTAAAAAACTATTTACTTAAACAAGCAACTATGTATTTCTAAAACGTTAATTGTAAGTTAGTTTGGTCGTAATGCAAGTATATTTAGGTACTTGCACTAAAAAATTGATAAAAATACTTGGTGAATTTTTTTTTTCAGTGCAGAAAACCCTCCTATTTGTGGATTTTTTTCATAAAACATATCTAAAAATATTTAATAGAAAATGCAAAATGTGAGGCTGAAATGCTAACTGACAGGTGTTTTTAAAGCACTTATTTTCCTTGGTCTAAGGAAGGACATGTCTTGATGAAACATGAATACTAGTTAGACAACTGCTGCACACGAACATTTAAATAACTTTCAATTAAATCCTGCAATAATAAGAAGAAATCCTGCCCATCGTGTCTCATTATTATTTGGCTAGACTTTATATTAGTGTGTCTAAAATGAGATTACTGTGGAGGCTTGTGTTCTTCAAATATTAAAAATTTGACACTAATGGATGGTGCTTGAAATATGAAGTCTAATCATTTTCTTTTTAGGCTTTATGCTCTTTTTTTCCCCTTTTCCCTATTTAAGTATGTTTTAGTTCGGAAACAAAATGGCATTTAGTCGTAAGGCACTTAGCAGAAGAGAGGTGTGTCAAAATGTCATTTGAAATTATACTCTTAAATCAGAAACAAAATGGCATTTTAGTCTTTCAGTTCTGAAGGTTCATGCACACCGTCAGTGTTTTTGAACGGGTGGGTAGGAGAAAACCATCCACAGACGAGAGAGAATCGAACTTCTGCAGTCTTATTGTTTGCAAAATACTTCACCGGGGAAAAAGCTGTCACACCTTTTGCCAAACCTGCGCTGTGCACAAGTTGTGAAAACTTACGTAAAAGGAAAAAAAAAGTTTAAATAGGAGAGCCTTGAGCTGCAGAGATTTGAAATGATTTTTGGGTTTGAGGCTGAGTAATCAATGCCTGCAGAGCTCTCTCCAGCAATGCTCCGCTCAATCCTGCAGTTGGAACTGTTTCGTATTGGGAAAGCAATACTGAGAATATTTCACTTATGCCTGAAATAGATTGCGCCTCTCAAGTACTGAAAATACATAGAAAAACATGTTACTCATTTTTATTGTACCAACTTTCTTTGACTGTCTGAGCTGTTTTGCCATTTTTTCCACCTAGTCCTTTACATGCCCACCCTTCATCTCTCCTCCCAGTAAAACCAGTTAACATTTCAAGGAGGATTATTTACTAGCATGCCCTTCGAAGCTGTCAGACGCCCAACAGATCTGCCACTCTGTGGATGACAGCTCTCACTGGTCTGTTTCACCCCATTTCTGCCTCCTGTCATCAAGCAATGCAGGGCTGAGGCCACCAACATGTTGCCCAAAGCCACGTAAACAAGAGCTTCCATCTTGTTTTACAGGATCAAACATGCATTCTAGTGAATGTTTCCTTCTAATTTTTTTTCCAAACCCTGTATTTGTATAATCAGCTACAAACTTTGTTCGTAGTTCAACGTCTCTGCAGATGGCAACTTCAAAAAGCTGCCGTTCTGTATTTAATTTGTGTTTAAATTTGGCCAAAGCACATAATCTGTTCCATCATAGCTTTGACTGAAGTGGAATTTCACTCTCTCGATCTGGACAAGTAAAGAAAAAATATTTAATTCAGTAGTAGATAAACATTTTCTTAATTTTCTAGAACACAAAAATCTAACAGTAAGTTAAATAAATTTTACACTTGATTTCAATAAAAATGCTATCTTTTAATTTCCCTCAATACAATTCAAACATTTTCCTTGTCAGTGTCGACTCAATGCACATTGCATAAGTCAAAAAAGAGGTATTTAAGACTTTTATGGACTGAAAAGTATTTTAAATTTGGGCTAAACTGGAAATGCACCTCTTGAACGAGATTGAGAAATTGGTTTTTGTTTGAATCCAGGTAGCATTTAGGGATGGACTTCAAATTTTATCACAATTTGCAACAATTATTGTAAGAACTGTAAGAGACAATTAAATGCATCCCTGCAATAATTTTCTTCTTTTTTGGTAATAGTTTAATAATTTTATCCCTATCATATTTACTCAATGTTCCACATCAGTGGAAAAAAAGTTATTGTATTTGGCAAACTATGATTAGTTTATTGAAGTCACAATTGTTCATGGTAATTATGAATAATATAATAATTGACCTTATCTAGTTATCAAAATCCCACTGATAAAATAAACTTTTTGCACTATACAGGAAATGTTATGCATTTTTTATTTAGTAAAACTGACACTTTGGCAAAATGTCTCCACCACCAGGTTTCGCCTGCAGACCAGAGGAGAGGCAGATTGATGCCAGGCTCTCCAAACATGTGAGCCAAAACGTCTTATTCTAGGATCCTGGGCATCACCAAAGGCAAAAAGGAGAAAAAAAGGAGAACCAACACTCAGCATGAAGGTGTAGGCAGATGCCTACAGAACCACTTCAAACCAAAAAAGGTCAGTGGGTCTATGTATTGCACTCAGTGATGAAAGACTGCAGCTTTTATCCTACACAGTAGCACTTTTGGATTATCTACATATCACCACTGAATATGGTGGTTATCTTGCTGACATATAGAGAAGTGATATGCTTAGTAAAGGTCATATTTGGCTTCATTAAATAAAAGTGGCTACATTGTTTTGATCATTTTCTGTAAGAAAAAGTCACATCTTATCCCAGTTTGCTTATTTCAAGAATGTTTCTTTTAATGTGTCATATAAAATGTTTAATAACCTCTGGCGATATTTCCTGGCCTGCTCAACTTCTAATTAATCAAAGTTTTAGATTAGACATGTTAAAATTAAAGAATTAACACATAATCAAAAAAGGGAAAATAATAAAAAGGAGGAAATCATTATGTTTTACTCTATTATGAATGATCATCAACCATCTTCCATCAATTTTCTTGACTCAACAGCTTCATTTTTAATAAATATCAACACTGATATACTTGGATTGTATTTTCACTTGAATAACCAGAATTAATTTTGAGCCAAGCAACAACCAAGGAGCCAGATTAATAAGGGAGTCACCCTTATTAATGTCTGCCAAAATCTGCAGAGCAATTCATCATGTAAGTAACTGTGAGAAACAGAAGGCTGAAAACCACAAAAACCCATCCAGGTTTCTGTTTCCTTCAGTTAAACAGGCCAGTGCTGATCATGTCTGCACTAAAAAAGAAGAAAACCAATTATTTTGTTCTGCATGTGTGTGTCAGACATAAGAGAAGCATCAGGGACTGCTTGTCTTATCTCATTGAAGTCACATTTCTTCCCATTTCCATAATGTGAGTCCATGAAAAATTTCCTCACAGTGTGCAGGGTGCAAGTTCAATCAAACACATTGATTTTCAAAATGCTACTACAGTTGGCCATAGTCACAAAGCTAAATTAAAATCTCCAAAAACTAGGAATCCCCTATAAAAACACTAAAAGCTGCCTATTTTAAATATACCTTTAATATGTACAATAGAAAACACTTTGGTGCAGATGCTAATATCTGTTCTTCCTTAACTCCACTCCTGGATAGAGTAGCCAATCGATGAAAGGTGCTTCTGTATTGGCTGCTTTGCTACCAATAGCTAATAGCATGTCTAGTAGCATTGCAGATGGGTATTTCAACTCCCAAAGTTGCCTTTTTTTTGAGTATTTCAGAAAATAATTCACAAATATGAGCATTTTGTAGTTATGTTCCACAGAAAAATCATGCAGAGGATCATAATAGTTGAAAAGTCAATTTTATGATCCATCTGTCAGGTTGTCAGTCAGGTTGTGCTGGGTTCAACTTCATTTCTCAGATATGACAGATGCCCATCTGCTCTACAGTAAAATTGGCATGTCTACTACTGCACTCATGTTTGCTTTCATAATTTTTAATAAGGCTGCACAATATATTGACTCACAGACATAATCACAGTATCAGTGTGTGCAGTATTGCCGTTGCAAAGGATTGCTTGGATGCAATGTTTGGTAGATTATTAAATTTCAAGCTTCAGGGATTTTTGCTCTGGATATCAATGACGTATTCGGTCAATGGCATGAGTTTTAAGTGCCCTTTCTGCACACAATTACATTGTGTAATGGGACGGAAAGATTAAAATCACAATAAAGGTCGTCATTGCACTTTTCAGCAGTGGTATCAGAATTATTTTCCAGATATCCTAATCTTTAAAACATGCTTTTTGAACGGGTGGGTACATATACTGAGTCAAAAATGACAACAAAAAAAATTATCTACGTGAAAATAAAACAGAAAAATTGCATATAAAGCCAGGAGAATTATATCTGAAGGTCACTATAAAGTACATTAAGTAAGTGTTCCTCCTTGGAAGCAAAGTACAATGATGTTAGCTTCGGTTTGAACTTCTCCAAGCACAATTTAAAGTGAGTTCAAGTCACTGCAATAACACTTTTAAAATGTGTTCATATGTGAAATTATTAGAAATATTACAGGAGTATATCAGCTATTCATTTACTCACAGCTTTAGGATCAGGCTGGTGTCAAAGTTTGCCCCTTTCTACAACAGCTTTAAAATATCTTCTCTGTTTTCTTTTTATTTTCCTCATTGCCCTGAATGTGACAGAGCTGTAGCTCAACAGCACCACCAACATCTCCAAGAAGGAAGTGCATCTCCAGCATTCAGCTTCAATGATTTTTCATTTATCCAAAAAAACTTATGTGGCATGTGATGTTTAAAGGCATTTGCATAGCAAACAACGCATTTGTTTCTGGAGTGACTCACCTGATCCGTTTGTCTCTTTGGTGATTTGCGCTCTGGCAGAGCTGCAGTATGGCTAAGAGAGTCTTTGAAGCGAGAGAACAAGGTTAGACCACAAAGCCCTGGAGCAAATGTAAGTGTACGGTGGTTGCTATGTTTATTTATTTTTTCACAGAAAGAGAAACTGCAAATTTTGTACAGTTTGCAGCAAGATTTCAGGGCTTATGTCTAGTTTTCCAAAGATACAAAAGACGGTTGAAGGTTGAATGTAGACTTTGCTACATAGATTTGTGGTACAGTTTCATGACTCCACTTCCTGTTTGTGGGTCGGTTTCCCTCCTTCGTGCTCCTCAATGTAGAGCAGCTCTATCCTCTCTGCCTCCTGCTCTCAGCCTGCCTGCATGCATCATTAAGCTGACCAACGCTGTGTGTGGAAGAGAACACAGACATAAACAAGCTCCAAGCACATCGCTAATGCAGTTTGTCTTCTTTTATGGCCCATTTTGCTCACCGAACATGGATGTGGCTGAAAGGAGCTCCGTGGTGATAATTAAAAGAAGAGCCAACGGACCTCGCTGCTGTTTGTGTTGTAATTTTCTGCATTGTTGCTCACTTTCAGAGTGTGAGGTTCATTAGCTGTGTTAACTACAAAATAAAATAAAATCTGCTGAGTTCTTTATTACTTGTTCACTTCCTTCTGTTTAAACTTCTTTTAACTGTTTTCGAAGATTGCAGTTGAAGTTTGCATCCAATATTGGGGATCTCCTCACTTTCTTTGGATCTTCCAGTCACATTAACTCAGTCTCCAGTTTTTGTGAAGAAACTGAGGTAACTGTCCACTCTACAGCTCTCCAGACATAAACCATCACTGCTTTTTCTCATAGATCCTGGTGGTTTGAAGTTTACCAACCTATAGATCTGCCAATCAATCTCATGCGTGGAGATTATCATGCGTAATTCCACCTTAAGTCTCCTTTGTTAAACAAGGCGTACCTGTGCAAAACGGTCTGTTTTTGTGCAGCTGAAGATCAAATGTTAATTTTAACCTTTGATTCATTTGAAGCTGCTTCTTTTATTTCAAAGAAGCCAAAGTGAATAAGGCTTCTTTAGGGGCAGGCTGATTTTTTAAAAAATATTTATTATTATGTAAATGAAAGGATTGAGTCATGCCTGAGAGGAAAATAATAGTTTAAAAGGTTTAATTCATGGAGTAGAGCAGGGTAGGGTGAAGTCCAACCAACCTCTTATCTGCATTGCTTTGTGAAAAATTCATTCAGCTTCTATTCATCACAAATCTGGAACAAACTTCCAGAAAACTCCAAAACAGCGGGAACACTAAGTCCTCTAAATCTAGTCTAAAGACCCAGCTGTTTAGAGCTGCCTTGGATTTGTAGTAAGTGGAACATAGATCAACCTATTGTTTTATCATTTTGATTATGGGCACTTGAGAAAATGTTGCGTTCATTGCTTGTTTCATAATTGGTGACTGTTCCATGTTTTTATGATGTAAAACACTGTGAATTTTCTTGTCGCTTAATTGTACTAGGCTTGTTCCACTTGGCGTTGCGCTAAGTTGCGCATTTCGCTTACCTTTATGAGTTTGCACCTGATCTGCGCGGACACCATGTGGCTGTTGCGCAGATTGCCCACTCGGAACATGAGGCAGAGTTTGCCGTCTCTTTGAGAAATCACCGCGTCCTGGCTGAACATGAGCGTCTCCGCGCGTTTCTTAGGCTGAGACATTTTGATGAACATGCAGCCGATGAGGAAGGCGTCCACTATGGAGCCCAGCAGCGACTGGAACAGGAAGAGGATGATCCCCTCCGGGCACTTCTCAGTGATGTACCGGTAGCCGTAGCCGATGGTAGCCTCGGTCTCGATGAAAAAGAGGAACGCTGAAGGGAAGTTGTAAACGTTCGCCACGCAGGGGGTGTAGGACGGATCGTGGCCGTGATTTAGATCCCCCCTGATGTAGGCAATGATCCACCACATCGATGCCATGACGAGCCAAGCGATGGTGTAGGTGAGGATGAAGATGAGCAGGTTCCAGCGCCACTTCAGGTCCACCAAAGTGGTGAACAGGTCGGAGAGGTACCTGCTGGTCTCCCCGCCGAGGTTCCCGTGCTGCACGTTGCAGCGGCCGTTCTTCTCCACGAAGCGTTGGCGTTTCTTCTTCACCGGGGCAGAGAAAGTAGTTGCCCGGTTGGTGTTCACTACCTGGTAGTCTTCTCCAAATTTCCTCCGAAGTGCTGCCATGTCCGCCCGTCTGGTGTTAACCCGCGCAACAGTCCCAGTTTAATCCATGATGTGTTTAGAGTTTTAGTCTCCAACGGATTGGTTACCTGCAGTGCGTAAAATACGCCATGGCCACTTCAGTGCGCACAGCGGATCCTGGGAATTATGAAAAATAAAAACAAACAAACAGAAAATACCTACTGCCTCTTTGCTTTTATTGCACAGTAGGTGTTCGCTTGCTGAAAAGCTCCACGGTCCTCTTGGTCATTTCACATCACACCAATGAGTCTCTGCTCTTCTCCGTGCGCTCTGCCTCTGTGTGTTCTGACTGACGCGCAGGGTCCGTCCACTACACACCGCTTCTGGTGGGACGTTATGGTTAAAGAGAGAACGAGAGGGTATTGGAGATGCAGAGAGAGGAAGGGAAAGGGGCAGGAAAAGAGGAGGAGAGAGTTACACAATGTGAGAAGTGGGCAGTTTGACTCCAGTTCAGCTGGTCAGTAAATAGATCATAGGTTCATTCTGAAAAATTAACCAGATGGATAATTTATTCATCTTCTTTTTTCATGGGAGTTTTAATTAAGGTGTATTCTCCTGTGATTAAGGAGCATTGATAGAAGATGAAAACAAATACTGAAATTGATGATATTAGAGAATCATAGGACTAAGTCAAACAGTGCCACCTGCTGGATGGTCCGTCCATGTGCATTTAAAACCTGACCAACTGGGTTGCAGGTGAACTCTGGCGCTGCTGTGACGGTGTTCAGTAAAGTATTCACACCCTTGGAGGGGAGAAAAAAGTTTGTAGTGCATTCATATTCAGCTTCCATTATTTTAGTTCTGCTTAGTAACAATCCAAGTTGTCTTCAGGAGTCACTTCATTATTTAATAGAGTCCAGATGTTTACAATTTATTAAGAAGAATCCAGCTGTTCTTTTAAAGTCTCCGCCGTTTTGTCAGAAAGTATACAGACTTTCTTAGTCGTAAAGACCAAAGTCTTTGCCCTCAGTATAATTTGACTGAATTTGATCTATTTTCAAAGAAGAATGGAGAAAAATGTCATTTTTTTGATCGACAAATCTAGTAGATGCAGACAAAACATTTGCAACTGTTGCAATGGAAGTCATCATAAATGATTTACTTTGGGGGCAAAATATAAATGCTAAACCTTTCAGGATTTTACTTTTGAAAGACATTGAAACACACATTTTCTTTAAATTTAACAGCTGGATGCTATTTGCATTGGTTTTTAACATAAAATCACAATTTAACATCAGAAAATTTACCTAAGTTCCATTTTTGGAAAATTAGTTTATGTTTATGACTATAAAAGCCTATTTTCTGTTTATCAAATCAGTTTCTCGACTCTCATTGATTCCTCCTCCACCCACTGCCACCCAGTTTAGACATCCTGTGGAAGATTTTCTTGACCATTGTTTTCCCTCCAAGGATGATTGTTAAAGGAATGAGTGACCCTCCTCCTGACTTGATTTGCCCTTTCTTTAATTACACCAACACCTAAAGATTTGCACAATGGTGCATGGAGAACAGTGTGCAAGCTAATGTTATTAAACGCTTAAATACAGCCTCAGTCACTGAAAGAGTAAAGAAGCTGCTTGACTGATTTTGTTTCACATAGAAAGTGGTTTTGTTCAGTCCTTTAATTTTGTGTTGAGACTAAATGGAGCATCTATGGGAGAGAGATGTGTTTGGTTTGATTGGATGATGTAAATAAAGCATTTAAATCATGTTGGATCAAGTTTCTGGAAATGCTGGCTTCTGTTGCGGCTTTTCTTTAGTTTTTTAGAAGGTTTTGCAACAGAAATGGCTAAGCTTATCACTTTTTCAAACCTTATGTCTCTATGTCTATGTTTTTACATCATTGATGTTTATTACTTTACTTCTTTGGTAAAACATAATTTTATTATTTTTCTGACGCAGAAAAAACCCTCAAGATTTTTCATCAAATCATACAAATTTTAATGCTTTTAAATGATTAGGTGTCTTCTAAAGATAATTTGTTGCACTAGATTTTTATTTAAGGGCATCATTAGAGTAGAATTGTCCTTCTATTACACATTTAAATATTAAATTAAGTTTAAGAAGCCATGAAATTTGTAGATTTAACTTGACAAACTGGGGATGGGGAAATACTGAGGTATAAATACTTTTCTAAAGTACTATATTCTGCTTAGGTTAAACAACTTCACTAAAAAAAAATCCTTAGTCACATTTGCATAGAAGTTTTAAATAGAGGCATGATATGACTTTTAATTCTGTAATAACTTAATCTGATGCAACAGCAAGAAATCCTGTTCGGATTATGTTCACACAGCAGTAAAATACTTTTAATGTAATAAATCATATAGGGAGCAATTTTTTTTCTACATGTAGAAATGAGGATAAAGGAAGGGAGGTGACATCATGTTGGTTGGCTTCTGTAGGCTGTTGGAAATTTTTCAAAGATGGATTCTGCTGCTCTTGTTTCAAGTCACAGATTGCACCACACTGTGACTCCACATCATTATCTTTTGATCAACTCACATTATTACTTTTTTTAAGCATTGGTTTGAGAGGAACATATGTATTTCCACTACCAATAAATGTCTTTTTTGCAAATTATTTCTAAAAAGAAAAGAAAAACAACGTAAAAATGTGTGAAAAACATCAATTACATGACACTCAGTTGCACTTATACATTTAAAGCCATGCAAAAATCTTAATTCAGCTTCTAACATATTTGTTATATCTTATGTGCATGTTAAAAATTTACAATGGGTAATACACTTGGTTAGCCACTAAACTTTGTACAAAAAAGCTATCAATTGGCAAGTAAATATTTGTCTTGTGCTCATTTCTCTGCAACCTGCTGAGGGTCTTTTATCTCAGCAGAGGGAGCTCATGCACAGCGACAATCCCCCTGAGATTTGAGGATTAGAGTGCGGGCAGCCAGGACTGCCATCTGTTATGTGGAAAAACCATCAGGCTTTCCCACACAGAGAAATCCAAATTAGCATAACAGAGGAGATCACAAGATCTTACCAAGTCTTCCTAACTGGAAATATCAGAAAGTAAGAAATATCTGCAATGTTTCTGTGTTTAAACGGCAATAAATCCAGAAAGATGAAAGGTATTTAGCATTTAGTGAAAAAATTGTTTGCCCTTCTGTGGACAAGTTATGATTCTGACTCCCACAGATCAGCCAGGTGCCCATATGGCAAACAAATCAATATCAGTTGATAATAAAGATAAACTGGATCTCAACTTACAAGACAAAATAAATTCCTTCCATTCTATCTTCATGGGTTAGACCCAAGGCTTGTCAGCGGGGCAGCGTAACCACATTTATGTAACACTTTTCAGTATTCAAAGTGTTACATAGTTTTAGTTCCTGCATTTTGCTTGTAGCCCCATAAATGATGTCCTTTCACATGTAGACTGTGTTCTCTGCATAGATTCTGACAAAACTATAGATGAGTATTCTTGTAGCTAGTGGAAAGTATTTCTTCCTTCCACTTAATCATAAGGGCGAGATTTGAAGAATCTCGCCCTTATAATTGCCACTCATAATTGCCACGTCATCAGATTCTCCCAGCTGAGCTTTGGTTCTCTACTTCTGCTCCAGTTAACTTGGGCATTTTGGCTACACTGGGCAAAATAAAAAATGCACAACACAGTTTTCAGAAATATTTTTAAAATATATTTTTTCTATTTCATTTAATTACTACCCTTCTCACATAAAAAGCCAAAACATCTATAAAAAAAATTGTCATTTTGATGTGATAAAATGTAAAGAAGTCAAGCATGAATGTGGAATAATTATGTTTTGGGTTGTGCAGGATGAGTTTGGCTTATTGAGAAAGCTAGGTTGAAGCCATTCACTATAAAATCTTGGATGACAATCTTTTTCTTTCACCCAGAAAACTTAAGATGAATATTTGATTAGTCTTCCAGTACAATAATGACTGAAAGGATTGATTAAATAAGATTTATACTACGCACTTGCAGACAACAATCTGCAGACACCAATATTCATGCAGCTGCACTATGTAAGGCTCTGACTCTTTGCTTAATTGCTCCAAAGTAAATTAATGTTTCAGATCTTTATCCACATAAAAATGATGGTCTATGCTTACCTTTTAAAAATTATTTACAGAAATCAATTAACTTTTGATGCTATTCTAATTTGTAGATGTTTGGAAAAGGCACAAAATTCCAAAGAAAACGTTGAAAGACTTTGATAAAGGAGTAGCAATTTGAAATAGGCTATTGAAAATGTTACCCAAAAGTTAAGAAGTGATTATGATTCCAGACTTTTGTACAGTAATGTAGCTTACTTTTTGAATCAGTATGAAACCTTTGTGTTCAGAAGCCAAGGTTAAAGGATTTTCCAGATTGATTTTTTTTTTATTTTGTCTTTGCAATTTTATAAAGGGTCCATTAATATGAAATATATATATATATATATATATATATATATATATATATATATATATATATATATATATATATATATATATGGACAAGTTATGATTATGAGATATATATATATATATATATATATATATATATATATATATATATATATATATATATATATATATATATATATATATGATATATATATATATGAGCTGATCTACAACTCAGCATCAGTGATCCTTGAGATACTTGGCTATAAGAGCAACCATGAGACCCAATACCCACCATGGAAAAGACGGTTAGAGGCTAAAATCAAGGTAACAAGGAGGGAAGTGAGCCAACTGTCAGAGCTCCACAAGGGTGCAATGAAAAGACCAGTACCCAGAAAGTACAGGCAGATGCCCATACCTGAAGCACTCGAGACTGCCAAACAGAGGCTCCAAGCCTTGTCCAGCCGCCTAAAGAGATACACAAGGGAGAATGAATCCAGAAGGATTAACCGGCTCTTCTCCACTCAACCAGCTAAGGTGTACTCTCAATGGCAGGGTAACAATAACAACAGAGCAGACCCACCAAGGCTGGAGACGGAACAATACTGGAAAGGCATATGGGAAAGGGAGGCGTCCCACAACAGCAATGCACAGTGGCTGATCTCTCTACGAGAGGACCACAGCAACCTCCCTGAGCAAGCCCCGGTAACCATCACTGTGACAGATGTCCAAGAAAGAGTCTCAGGTATGAAAAACTGGACAGCACCAGGCCTGACATGATCCATGCCTACTGGCTAAAGAAACTCACTGCTCTCCATGAGCGAATGGCAGCCAAATGAACCAGCTGCTACAAAGTGGGACTCACCCTGAATGGTTAACTGAAGGGCGGACAATCCTAATCCAGAAGGATCCATCAAAGGGTCCAGTCCCACCCAACTACCGACCAATAACCTGCCTCTCCACAACCTGGAAGCTCATGTCAGGCATCATAGCGGCCAAGATAAGCAAACACATGGATAAACACATGAGCACGGCACAGAAGGGTATCGGTGTAAATAGCAGAGACGCCAAACACCAACTCCTCGTAGACCGCACAGTTGCCCGAGACTGCAAAACCCGACACACCAACCTGTGCATGGCTTGGATTGATTACAAGAAAGCCTATGACTCAATGCCGCATACTTGGATCATTGAATGCTTAGAGATGTATAACATCAACAGGACTCTGAGAGCCTTCATTGCAAACTCGATGAGGCTGTGGAAAACCACCCTTGAAGCCAACTGCAAACCACTTGCACAAGTGTCCATCAAATGTGGCATATACCAAGGAGATGCTCTGTCCCCGCTACTGTTTCTGCATAGGCCTGAACCCCCTCAGCCAAGTTATCAACAAGACTGGCTACGGATACAGACTCAAAAATGGGGCAATATCAGTCACCTACTTACATGGATGACATCAAGCTGTACGCCAAGTGTGAGCGAGACATCGACTCACTGATCCACACCACCAGGATCTACAGCACTGACATTGGGATGTCATTCGGACTAGAGAAATGTGGTCGGCTGGTCACAAAGAGGGGGAAGGTCATCCACACAGAAGGGGTCTCACTCCCAGAAGGAACAATAGCAGACATAGAGGACAGTTACAAGTACCTAGGTATACCACAAGCAAATGGCAACCTCGATGAGGTCACAAGGAAAGGAGCCACAGCTAAATACCTCCAACGAATAAGGCAAGTCCTGAGAAGCCAGCTCAATGGCAAGAACAAAATCCGTGCGATAAACAGCTATGCCTTGCCAGTAATCAATACCCTGCTGGAATAATTAGCTGGCCAAAGGAGGAGATAAAAGCCACAGATATTAAGACCAGAAAGCTACTAACAATGCATGGAGGGTTCCATCCCAAATCCAGCACCCTGAGACTGTACACGGCCGCAAGGAAGGAGGCAGAGGACTAGTGAGTGTGAGAACCACTGTCCAGGACGAAACAACTAAGATCCATAAATACATCAGAGACAAAGCCTCAACAGACAATGTGCTCAGTGAATGTCTCAGACAACAGGGAACGGAGGTTGAGGTGCCAGAGATACCATCATGGGAGGACAAACCCCTACATGGGATGTACCACCAGCAAATAACCCAAGTGGCTGATATCAGTAAATCCTACCAATGGCTGGAAAAAGCTGGACTCAAGGACAGCACAGAGGCCCTCATCCTGGCAGCCCAGGAACAGGCCCTAAACCCAGAGCAATAGAGGCCCAGATCTACCACACCAGACAAGACCCAAGGTGTAGGTTGTGCAAGGAGGCCCCTGAGACAGTCCAGCACATCACAGCAGGGTGCAAGATACTTGCAGGGAAAGCGTACATGGAGCGACATAACCAAGTGGCAGGCATAGTGTACAGAAACATCTGTGCAGAATATGGACTGGAAACCCCAAGAACAAAGTGGGAAACACCCCCAAAGGTGGTAGAGAACACCAGAGCTAAGATCCTGTGGGACTTCCAGATCCAGACAGACAAAATGGTAATGGCGAACCAACCAGACATTGTCGTAGTGGATAAACATCAGAGGAAAGCCGTTGTGGTAGATGTAGCAATACCCAAGTGATTGCAACATCAGGAAAAAGGAGCACGAGAAACTAGAGAAATACCAGGGCCTCAGGGAGGAACTGGAGAGGGCCTGGAAGGTGAAGACCACAGTGGTGCCTGTGGTCATCGGGGCCCTCGGGGCAGTAACCCCCAAACTGGAGTGGCTACAACAGATCCCAGGAACAACATCAGACATCTCAGTCCAGAAATGTGCAGTCCTTGGCACAGCCAAGATACTGCGCAGGACCCTCAAGCTCCCAGGCCTCTGGTAGAGGACCCGAGCTCAGAGGATAAGAACCACCCGCGGTGGGTGAGAAGGGAATTTTTATATATATATATATATATATATTCATATATTCATTGCAAACTCGATGAAGCTGTGGAAAACCACCCTTGAAGCCAACTGCAAACCACTTGCACAAGTGTCCATCAAATGTGGCATATACCAAGGAGATGCTCTGTCCCCGCTACAGTTCTGCATAGGCCTGAACCCCCTCAGCCAAATTATCAACAAGACTGGCTACGGATACCGACTCAAAAATCAGTCACCTCCTCTACATGGATGACATCAAGCTGTATGCCAAGGGTGAGCGAGACATCGACTCACTGATCCACACCACCAGGATCTACAGCACTGACATTGGGATGTCATTCGGACTAGAGAAGTGTGGTCGGCTGATCACAAAGAGGGGGAAGGTGATCCGCACAGAAGGAGTCTCACTCCCACAAGGAACAATAGCGGACATAGAGGACAGTTACAAGTACCTAGGTATACCACAAGCAAATGGCAACCTCGATGAGGCCACAAGGAAAGGAGCCACAGCTAAATACCTCCAACGAATAAGGCAAGTCCTGAGAAGCCAGCTCAATGGCAAGAACAAAATCCGTGCGATAAACAGCTATGCCCTGCCAGTAATCAGATACCCTGCTGGAATAATTAGCTGGCCAAAGGAGATAAAAGCACAGATATTAAGACTAGAAAGCTACTAACCTGCATGGAGGGTTCCACCCCAAATCCAGCACCCTGAGACTGTACACGAGCCGCAAGGACGGAGGCAGAGGACTAGTGAGTGTGAGACCACTGTCCAGGACGAAACATCTAAGATCCATAAATACATCAGGGACAAAGCCTCAACAGACAATGTGCTCAGTGAATGTCTCAGACAACAGGGAACGGAGGTTGAGGTGCCAGAGATACCATCATGGGAGGACAAGCCCCTACATGGATGTACCACCAGCAAATAACCCAAGTGGCTGATATCAGTAAATCCTACCAATGGCTGGAAAAAGCTGGACTCAAGGACAGCACAGAGGCCCTCATCCTGGCCGCCCAGGAACAGGCCCTAAACACCAGAGCAATAGAGGCCCAGATCTACTACACCAGACAAGACCCAAGGTGTAGGTTGTGCAAGGAGGCCCCTGAGACAGTCCAGCACATCACAGCAGGGTGCAAGATACTGGCAGGGAAAGCGTACATGGAGCGACATAACCAAGTGGCAGGCATAGTGTACAGAAACATCTGTGCAGAATATGGACTGGAAACCCAGAGATCAAAGTGGGAAACGCCCCCAAAGGTGGTGGAGAACGCCAGAGCTAAGATCCTGTGGACTTCCAGATCCAGACAGACCAGAATGGTAATGGCGAACCAACCAGACATTGTCGTAGTGGATAAACAACAGAGGAAAGCCGTTGTGGTAGATGTAGCAATACCAAGTGATTGCAACATCAGGAAAAAGGAGCACGAGAAACTGGAGAAATACCAGGGCCTCAGGGAAGAACTGGAGAGGGCCTGGAAGGTGAAGACCACAGTGGTGCCTGTGGTCATCGGGGCCCTCGGGGCAGTAACCCCAAACTGGAGCAGTGGCTCCAACAGATCCCAGGAACAACATCAGACATCTCAGTCCAGAAATGTGCAGTCCTTGGCACAGCCAAGATACTGCGCAGAACCCTCAAGCTCCCAGGCCTCTGGTAGAGGACCCGAGCTCAGAGGATAAGAACCACCCGCGTGGGTGAGAAGGGAATTTTATATATATATATATATATATATATTATATATATATATATATATATATATATATATATATATATATATATATATATATATATATATTATATAGCAATATAAAAGTGGCACAAATTCACCAAATATATATATATATATATATATATAATATATATATATATATATATATATATATATATATATATATATATAAGGTTAATGCTAAAATATCAAAGTGATTGGTAAAAATAAATAAATAAATAAAAATAGGAGGGAAATAATAGAGTGAAAAAAAAACGAGAGTGACTTTCGGGTTTCGCTCAGGATGCTCCTGCCTACCGGACCCAGAATGCTCTGCGCGGGCCAAGATGGAAGAAGCCAGCTGCAGCAGGAGAACAATGTTTGGGCTGTAGATATTGAAGCGGAGCGGCTCAGGGTGAACTAAGCGGACCACAGCAGCGGGTCATGGTCCTGCACCGGTAAGATGAATATATACCAGTTAATGTTTTGGGCTGCTGCGGTTTATAGCTCCATTATTACCCGGACGAGGCAGAGCGCAGCGCTCAGGGGGGTTAGCTGCGGCTAAGTTAGCCGCTCTGTCTGTTGGGACGAGCATCATTGTTCGCCGAGTTTAGTTGGGCCGTTTTGTTTTGGGTCGGTTCTGCTTGTGTCTCTCCATCACAGTCCAGGAAACGGAACCGTTTGCATTAATAAAGCACCCATGAGGATAAACACCTTCACTGTAGCTGTACTAGCCGGCTTTCATCATTCTCCAGCTTTTTTAATGGTTTTCACATCTTGCTCTAATTAAACTTGTCTAAATTTAACATAAAAGTGACACAATTGCACGATTTAATGCGAATTAATATCTTAATTTGATTAGGCTGCTTTAATTGTGGTTTTATACGTTTCTTGGAGTATATTTAAAGGAAGATTAGCTGCTCTTATTGCCTGGCCATATTAATTATTGGCATCACAAAGAAGCAGGGCCCCGCAGAACTGCTGAGCCGAGACGGTTAGCAGGGAGCTAATTCACATCCTGCAAGGTTTATTTCCTGCTGGGTTACCAGCTCTCAGCTGATCTGCTGAAATGCACCAAAAAAAAAAAAGCAGTTCAATCGAAGTAAAACCTGTATGGTTTGCTTTTCCTTCTTCCAAACCTGCTTTGGAGCAGGCGGTGTGACTGCTAATGCTGCAGCAGAGATGAAGGCATTTCAGAGGCACTTCGACTGAATTACTTCAGGAATTTTAATTTCAGGTTATTTTCAATTCAAATTTGGTGAATTTGTGCCACTTTTATATTCTGTATTATTGTATCACTCTTATATCCTGCAAGTTCTACCTCTGCTTGTCTAAAACCTTCAATTTATAACCATATTTGTTGGAATTTTAGTCATTTTCCTTAAGTGTTTATATCATTTGCTTAAATCTATTGTTTCTGTTAAAAAACTGCAAAGAGATTAGTTAAAAAAAAGTTCAGCATTTTTGTAGGGCAAAATCAGAGCAGACAATACATATATTTAATTTATTTATATTTCTTTGGATAAGAGTTTAACCTTCTTCAATTTGTTTCCTTAATTCAAAATCTTGTCAAATTATTTGCAGAGTAAGCATCTTCATACTTAAATGTTGAACAAACAGGTTTCTCGTGCATCCATGAAAAGTATTTTAAAACCTTTTTCCTGTTCAATTTCTAAAAGATGAAAACCTGCTTATGTGCAGGTAAAATAAAATTTCAATAACCTTGAATGCAATGTATAAAAACAAATTTAAGCATCAAAAGTAATTGTATCAGCTCTAATTTTCAAAGATTATCTTTTGATAAATATCACATAAGTTTTGAAGGTAAGGATAAAATAAAAGGCTGTTGTGTTGCATGATTATCATTTTTACTGTTCCCTGTCAGCCGTGGAAACATTGTAAAAACTATTTATTATTATTATCATTACAAAAGATTGACTTCTGAAAAATGAAAAGTATCAAATTCCAGTTGAAATATATGCAAATCCTGCATCCACAGACGTGTGTTACAATTCTCATTCAGACTTATTAGGACCTTGCTGTTGCTGCATAAGCTGGTAAACAGTCACTCTGCTGCAGTGTGTGTGTGCACTCTCATTGACAGATAAGCTGGTACAAATAGGATGACTGGGTCAGACGGTCGGGCCTATCATAAAGATTACCACGCAGCGGTCCTGTTGCTCCTCGTCTTGTGTTGCCTAACGTGGCACTGACTTTTGTTTGGCCACTAAGGCCAGACATAAACAGTTTATTGAAGCAGAGATTTCAGTTCCTCTTCTTCTTCACCTTGTTTTGTCATGATCCAGACGGCCGTTTATTGTTGACCCACAAAACGTCGATTTAATCCGACTAAGCACCTCGTTGTTAGATCAGAGGCCGTGGCTTTGATTCCTGAAGACCAAGCTTAACTGGTTGTTTGCCGACAGATTGTCTGTCTGAAACATGTTATTGTTGTTATAAACATGAGCTGCTGTTGTCGTTTTTCCTCACAGGATGAATTTCTGTCCTGTAGTCTTCCTGCCCACCAGCCTTCAGCATGAACATCATTCAAGATAAACTAGGGAATGAATTCCTGCGCTCCAACAGCAGCATGGACTCCAACTTTGGAGCCGGTATGATAATGTTCAGCCACCTTCCTCCGGTGGCCAGCTTCACCCGGCTGTCGGCGCACTCCGTCATGCAGGAACTTCCGCCGCAAGACCTGATCCTGAAGAAAGAGCGGGACTCTCCTGACTGCAGCGTGGGCGCTGCTGCGGTTGAAGACTATGTTCACACCATGGGCATCAAGCAGGAGAAGCAGTCAGAGCATGATTACCGCCTGCCGCTCTACCCTGGAGGTCTGGGGCGGAGCGGCGAGGTGCTGGAGGTGACCGTCGGTAACCACCAGAAGCTGCTGGTGTGCGACCTCAACATTGGCAACGTGGGTACAGCTGACAGACCAGGAGAATGAAATGGTTTCAGAAACACAAAACACACTGCTCTTAAAGTAGTAGCAATTATTTCACAGTTTATTTAGTTAGACAAGGCATTACTCTAATATTTTATACATATTTTCCGAAACTCTTAATTTGCTGATCAACCCTGCAGCTGGCGTTTGATGGAGATGCTTAGAAAGGCTGAAAAGGTTGTGGTTTTAGCAGAACTGTGCTGCTTAGCTGAATCATTCACAAGGTTCCTTCACAATGAGAAAATCCTGGGATTCATTGTTTGTTCATTGTTTCAGGTCTGAATAAGCATGAAAACAAAAAATATTAGTATTTCCAGACTTCGTTTCCGATTCCATTGTCTAAATGGTGTATCCTTCCTCGCTTTTGACTCCTTCCTGTTGGGGATGTAAAATCTGTTTCATGATTTGACAAGATGCACACACGGATGCAGCAACGTCTGTGCCACGTTATGTCAATAATCAATTTATAATAGCAACGTAAATTCCTGAATTTTAATCTGATAATGACATGCCAAAAGACTCCCCCCTTAATGACTTGTGTTTTTCTTTCTCTCCATTTTTCCTTCCTTCTCTTTCCTCTGTTATTTCTACTTTTCTCTTAAGCCTCTCTGAGCTCTATCTATCCCTTTGTTTATTCATTTGATGTTTCCTGACAGGATTTCTACTTCCTTTGTGACCTTCTTTATCTTTACTTATTTCCTTTGTTCTTATCCTTCCAGTTTTCAGGGGGTTTTTGTTGGTAGTATATTCAAACACTTCCCACTGTACAGGCATTTTCCCATAAACTGCCAGAATTATTTTAATTGTATATTGTAAAATAAAATGATAAAAAATAGTCCTACATTTTAGCAAATTAATTTGGTGAACTAAAATGTTCTTTGTGTGTTTGATGCCTCTCGATCCATAAGCCGCTCAGCTCTGGTTATTCCTCAACCCTGCAAAATCTGTTCACCATAAAATATCAGGCAATTAAAGAATAAAATGTGAGACAAACAAATCTTAATCTGGGACAATAAAGATACAGAGATAAATAGTATAATTTGGTTATGAACCTGTTTCCATCTACATGGAACTCTTAGCACAACAGTGATTAGAACATTTATTCTGACTGACTAAATTGGTTCTTTTAGTAAAATCAGTTAGGAACTGGCTGCTTAAGAAATGTTGTTGGTGGAAAAGCTCCAATTGAAGCCGTTTGCTTGATTTTGGGAAACTAACGATGCATGATCTCAGTCGGGTTGAACAAATACTGCAGCAGTTGCAAGTTTCTTTTACTCAAAGCCATGATTATTATTCTCATCTTTTAATTTTGCATTTAATATTTTAGTTTAATCTGCGCCTTCAAAGCAGAATTTTTCCAGTTTGCATATGTTTTCCGAAAGGCAGATCTATCTTCGGCATTTTGGAAAAGCTTTTCTTTTTCTTTTAATGCTGTATCAGCATAGATAGACTGATGCATTTTGTACTGCCGCAGTTTCTGCAGAAATTTTGAAAAAACAAATTTTAAAGATAGTTTAAAATAAATCTTAAAACGGCACCATTAGTGACACCTTTTTTAATCAAAATATTTATATTAAACTGAGATGTATCTTCCTATTAAAGAAGTAACCACACTCTTCCATATTCTTTTTTTTTTTTTTTTTTAAAGGTTCAATTTAATATAATCTTTGTTTCATGACGTCATTCATGATTTTGGTGCAGTGCAGAAGCTTGTGTGAAAGTAACTTATGGAGACATAAATCTCCCGCTGGCTTCAGATGCAAAGCAGTTTCTCTCTGAGCAGAGGGATGATGTCATCCGGCTGCAGCGTGAATGAGAACGTCTTTGCGAGGACGCAGCTGTCTTGTTTGAGTTTGCACTTCATTTCAGACGTCTTTTGTGCTCATTCAAACAGAAATATAAACAACCACACTCTGCTGACAATAGTGAGCCATCAGAGGTCACGAGGCCTGAATATTCAACAGGTTCAATTATTGTCTTTATGTAGTTCTTTTTTTTTTAGAATTATGTTGATGTGTTTAAACATAATAGATTTGATCCATCAGACTGATGTTCTTCAGCATCGCTGCAAACAAATAATGCTTCTTGGAGACCTGCTACTGTTCAGAAAACAATATATATTTTGTCCTAAAACCTCATCCCAGTTTCCAGTTTAACACAAAAGCAAAAAAACAAATAAATTTCTCATGTTTTCCAAGATGTTAATTTAGTTGAAATGCTTAAGTCAGACATTTCATTTCATTAACTGATTTTTAAGATGAGCAGGTGCAGCGACTTTTGTGCTTTCAGCCTCCATATGGTAACAAGGAGCAAAGTGCAAGCTGGGCAATATCTGGCCCAGATTGGGAAGGGCCAGATACGTGTTCTCCTCCCCTCTGGTTATTGTTTTAAATGCCTCAATCAGTTTGTGGCGACTCCACTGCCCATTCAGTTCACATTTTCCACAATGAGTCTCAAATTTTTGTCAGTGATTTGTTTGGTTACCAGAATTACAAATGTAGACTTGTTTCCTTAGTAGTTTTAGACTGAAGAGCCTCAACCTTCTTTCAAGTGATTTCCTTGCTCTCACGGCCCTCTGCCTTTGTCGTCTTCGCAGCTGTCAAATCAGTTGGAAAAAGAGGCCACCGGGAGGAAAGGTCGGAGGTCAAACATTGATGGACATGAGGGTAAACCTAGAAAGAAGAGAAGTGAAGCAAAGGTTTGCTTTCTATTTGTCCATTTGTTGTCAGTCCTGTTTCGTCTTCATTGTTCTTTTTCATTTTTAGTGTTTTCTGTCACCTACTTAATGTTTTTGCGCTGTAGCTTTCTGTCAGCTTAATCCTTTATAAACTAAGCGTAAAAACACGGGGCCTGTTCTGTAAGGTACAAATCAGACTGTAAGTATGAGTTGCAACTAATTAATCTGGGATTTTATCATCTATTTGACCTAATCTGTTCGTCTCTGTCTGTTGTGCAGCATTCAGTAATGGATGCAGACGGTGGCGGTCTGTCTCCAGGAACAAAACCTCACATCTGTGAACACTGCAGTGCATCCTTCAGGAGCTCCTATCATCTGCGCAGGCATGTCCTCATCCATACAGGTTAGCGTTTTCAGATTTCTTCATATTTCCTCCAAGATTTGCCAACATAAAATTATCAGAATTGTTTTCTCTTCTAGCAATTTCATATTGGAGGTTTATGTCACTGGGAAACCACTACATTTTGTGTTACTATTAACCATCAAAATAAGATGTTTTGCTGTTTTCATGGCTTCAATTCTAAAATAAATATATAAACATGTGGAAAATCAAAATCCCAAATTGTATGAATAGCACTATTTTAAATTTATGACCGGAATCTTTGGTTTGTGCCACTACTGCTCTGAAGCACTCTGTTCCTAAGCTACTATCTCATCAGTTTAATCAGGTAACTTGTTTGGACTTCATCTGATATTTGTCCTGATTCCATGTTCTATGTCAAATAAAAAATGAAACTCACTGGGAATTTTGATTTTGGTTGAGGTTGTTGCTCAGGATTGTAAATTATTTTAAAGATCCGGATGTAGAGCATTCATTTGCATCCCTTTTTTAGTTGTAACCTTTTACTTTTGTCATTTAATCTCATGTTTCCTGTGTGTGGGAGTGTTTGGCTTGTCTTTGTGTCATCAGGAAGCTGCCAGTTCAGTGAGCTAGAAAATAGATTTCAAGAGTAAGAAAACTCAGAGGTTATTCACAGCTGGTCACATTAGATATCTCTGGTGTTGAATTTTTTTACTCAGTTTAACTTAATAAGTAACTAAAGTCATAAATGTATAAAAATATGAAAACATAATCACACCCAGGTGCTTATATTTTTGGGGGGAAGTTTGCAAATTTGAGTTACAGTTAAAGTTCAACATAAATAATCAATAACACGAGAAATGCAGGTATTACAGTACTAAATGATCTCAAAGGGTTTATGGAGAACATATAATGTGACAGATCTGGGCAATATCTATGGAGAATATGATGGAAACATTGTGGAAATATTGTTGTAACATCATTGTTTTCCTGTGATTTTTACGTAAGGTGAAAGACCCTTCAGGTGCAGTCAATGCAACATGAGTTTCATCCAGAAGTATCTTCTCCAGCGGCACGAGAAAATACACAGTGGTGAGTAATTAGCAGAGATTATTAGGTCACCCGAGGCTCTGGCGTTGCTCAGAGCAGCCAAAGATCATTAACCTTCCCTCACGCTTTCCTCCTCCTTCAGGAGAGAAGCCATTTGGCTGTGACCAGTGCAACATGCGGTTCATTCAGAAATACCACATGGAGAGACACAAGAGAACCCACAGCGGAGAAAAGCCATACAGATGTGAGACCTGCCAGCAGGTTGGTGACCCTAATAAAGCCTTGTCTTTGCTGGCTATTTAACATGAATTACTGTGGCTAATAAAGGCTACATGGGGTGTCTCTTCTGCAGTATTTTTCTAGAACAGATCGACTTCTTAAGCACAAGAGAACCTGTGGAGAAGCCATTAAAAAGGGATTGGATCCTGGGATGATGGATCTGGGTTTTGTGGATATGGGACAAGGCAGCTATGGAATCACTCAGGGAAATGTTGGGAGCACTGGGAGGAAGAAGGGAAAGTCGAAAAGTTCCACAGTAGCAGGCGAGCGTAAGAAGAAGAAAGGAGACCCGAAGGAATCGCACGTTCACGGAGTTGTATCTGGAGGTTACAGCATCTATGAATACTCTGTGGAGAGTCCCACTGTGTCTTCTTCTACTGAGCCAGGACCCAGCATGCAACAGGGTCACCAGGATCAAGGTCCCAAGATGGCCTTCAAGAAAGCTAACCGGAAGAGCCTGATGAAGGCAGGTCTGGGTCAAGTTAAAGCTGAAATGTTGGAGCAGGGTGACCTTGGCTTGATGCAGAGCAACGAGGCTAAGGTAGAATCCACCAGCAGCAATTACGACGACGCCATGCAGTTTGTGAAGAAGCGGCGCTATCTTCAAGCGACAAACAATGCAACACCCTCCGGCGCCGCAGTGGCAGGCGGAGGTGGGAGCGACTACGACGTCAGCGTTCATTTGTCCTCACAGCCGTCCTCTCTTCAGGGCGGGATTCCAGGAGTAATGGACAGCGACGGTCCTCTGAATCTGGAGAAGTCGGGGATCACCGATGAGATGCTGCATAGCCTTCTGGACCTCTACACCCAGAAACCCGACATTCATTTTGACATCGGTGACCAACACGTGCAGCTCAGCCCCGCCTCAGCAGACGGATCCGATGCCAATGCCCCCAGCCCGTCAGGAGACAAAAGCTCAATGATGCATGAATACTCCCGCTTCTTGCTGCAGGCTTTGGAGCGCACCAGCCACAGTGCCGGTTTCCCACTGGGCCCCGGACCTCTTCCTTCCTCAGGACCCTTCACCACTTCCCACGCAGGAAATCCCCTATATGCCGACAAGAACATCTACAGCACGTCCCATCTGGAGTGCGGCTTCGTCCAGCCGGTGGCTTTGCCTTCGCTGCCCTCCTCAGTGCCAAAGTCTCACTTTGCGATGCTGAGCTGCTCGTCCCCGCAGCACAGCTTCAACCTGAGCAGTCTGGAGGCCCCCTCACACCAGCAGCTCACCCCTTCTCAGGAGCTCACCGAACAGATGGAGAAACAGCACTCCACCACCCCTCCCTCAACCTACCAGATCAGCTCATCCGACCTGAGTAACCAGAAGGAGCATCCGGCGGTCAAGAGCGACTCGGCGGCCGTTTACCCTCTGGTTCCCTCGCAGGATCTGGCCTCTCTGGACTCCTCGAAGCCTTCCTACCAGATAGAAAACTTCGCCCAGGCCTTCGGCTCCCAGTTTAAATCTGAAGTTCATGGTTTGTCTTACAGCACTGACTCTGGTGGGGAGGTGGATCACAGGATACGGACGCCTGTGTCGGATTTCTCAGGGTATAGTTTGTTATCTGATGTCAATGAGCCAGTAAGTACAGGTTCCAAAACACCAACAAGCCAAAGCTACAGATGAAACCTGGGAGGATATTCTTCAATGGTTGTTCTTATTTTAATCTTTTCTGCTCCTATTTTATTAATCTTATTTTTGTGACATGTATATTTTATTTACACTGATGCTCTGTCTTTATGCCTACTCCTCTTCATGCAATAAGCCTGCAAGGTATCCTGCAAATGCAATTTGTTTGAAAGAATCTGATATGTCGAGTTTGCGATATACCTGTCGATTGGTGTCATAGCGGTGCCGGTAGGTTGGGTCTTTATTTATAAAATTCACAGAACCTTTCAAGCATTTTATTTTTAGCAGAAGCAGTGGATATCACATCCAATGAGGTGATTCAACTTTAAAATAAGAAATGATGGCAGGGAAATGCCCAGAACTGAAGCGGCAAAAAAGGAAATAATAATAATAAATCAAGTTGTCAAAGGTGTTACTCAGGAAAACGTGGGAAACTAGAAGCTCACGGAGGACAGGGAGCTCACTTTTCAGAAGTGCATGTTTGTGATTTAAAAAAAAAAAAGAAAAAAAGATGTTTCTTACTTTTTATTTCTTACATGTTGAATGAGTGTGACCTAAAATGGACTGTTGCCAGCTCACTTGAACACTGAAAACACTTTCTACTTGGCTATATAGAGATTATGGTACTTTTATGTCAATGTGAAGCTAGTGTTTTCTTCAACAAGGGCCACACACATGAATATCTATATATATTTATAAGAATATATATATATATATATAAATAATATGTAAAATAGGTCTTGTAGGGTTCTGCCATTTGAAGTAGAGGGAAGAATAAGTGCTGGTTATTGGGCTAAATCAGGGGTGGGCACTCCAGGTCCTCGAGGGCCGGTCTCCTGCAACTTTTAGATGTATCCCTACTTCAACACACCTGAGTCAAATAATGAGGTCATTAGCAGGACTCTGGAGAACTTGATTGCATTTAGGAGGTGATTCAGCTATTGGATTCAGGTGTGTTGGATCAGGGAGACAACCAAGAGTTGCAGGACACCGGCCCTCGAGGACCAGGAGTGCCCACCCCTGGGCTAAATAGTCCTTGTTCTATTTTGGGGGATGTCTTCTTCAGCCAATAGATGTCGCTGTTGGACAGCAGCAGAATGGCCTTTTTTTTCCCACTTTACTGTTCTTGTCATCTTCCTCTTATTTATCTAAAAGTGTGCGATCAGCACTTTGAGCTGCTTTCTCACATTGTTTTAAAGTACCTGATCGAATCAAGAGCTAACACAAGGAATTACCCAAGTCTTTGACAGTTGCTGTTGGGGCGTACGCATGCAGGGGTTTGGGGGTGATTGTGGGGTGGGACGGCCTTTCGTTTCCGATGAAGGATGTTGAGAGTCGATGGGTTGGAAATGTCTTTACTTACTTATTGTGGGAAGGGGGGGTAGCTTAGGCTTGCGGGTGGGCTTTTTAAAGTAACGTAATATTTAATCGGGATAATGTAAACGTAATTACAACCCCTAGTTTTAGTTGCCTTGATACCGACCTTAGCGGCTTTCGCAGATTTTTATTAACTTTGAGGATAAACGATGTTTATGATCTAATGTTTCTGCAGCCATGTGCTGAATCTTTTAATTTAGATACTTTGTGCAAACATTATCATCCACCAGCTATTCCCAAAAAGCTGGTGGAAGAAATATGTCTAATAAATATATGTAGTTTCTTGCTGACATTTTTGAATTGCCAACCTTTTGGTAAGGACAACAATAATTGTGGAAACTTCCCTATGACTAGCTGACCTTGACTGCTGGAAATGATATCTCTGTGCTGCTCTGAATGAGTTCTTGAGCCCATTTGTGCCCCAATAATACAGTTCTGGTCAGAAGTTTACATACACCATTTTTTTTGGCGGGATTGTCCTGTCAATTTTCTCACTGTTCCGATTTCAAATCAGATTTATGATATAATTTACGGCTTCATTTCCCAGGGTAAGATCCAGAGAAGCCAAGAGGTCTTTGAAGTCGTCGACTAGCTTCTGACATAATTCTGGATATTTGACCAGTATTCTTATCAGAAACAGTTTAATTGGTTATCAGTCCATATTCATCCATAATATTTTAAGTAGAGTTTAGGTTAGGAGTCATTCCAGAAGCTTAGTATCGCTTTGTTTTATTCTTTTCCAATCAGTTTTGATCTGCTTTTAGAATTATTGTCCCGTTATAACAAATTGTGTCCGAATTTCAACCATCTCGCCCAAACTTTCACATTTTAGATAAAAATATATTTGTAGAGACTTCTACCAAGTCTTAAGTCTATAACAAACTGGAATTACTGTTTATAGTAAAGTCAGTTTCAAGAAAACAGCACCAGCTTGTCAAGTGAGAGCAAAATCGAGCTAAATGACCACAAATTCAGAAAGTTTGTATGAATCCTCCAGACCACTGAGGTCTTCTGGTTCAAGTCTGCTCTGCAGAATCAAACATGGAGATGCTTCGTTAAGTTTTTATGTTCCTTCAATCTGGAACAAACTTCCAGAAAACTGCAAAACTGCTGAAACACTGAGTTCCTTTCAATCATGGCTGAAAACACAACTGTTCGGAGTTGTCAATGATTGATAATAACTGGAAAATAGATTAATGTAACTTTTTATGGCTTCTGCCACTTTATTTATTGTTTTGTTTTTATTATATGCTCTCTTCGAAATGGTTTGAGCTATACAGAAAAAATTCGACTTGAAGTCAAGATTAGACTTGCAAGCACTTTTTTTAGTGTGGTTTGCTGCCAGTCTTACTGGTGAATTTCACAAAATGGGTGCGGTAACAAAGAGGGACAAAGCTGAAATTCTTAAAATGTATTTCAAGTCAGTTGGTTGTTTAATCAATCGTCCTAAATGTACATTAAAACTGGGGTAAAAATGGATGAAACAGGCGAACTTTAAACCTTAAGAAAATGCCCCAACTTCAACCCACACAAAAATGTTTGGGGTATGCCTGTTAAAAGTTGGGTTTCTGCCTGCAAATGGGTAACAATTTAGTGGTCAAAAGTCCAGCCAGAATTATTTCAGAAACATGTCGATGGTCACAGTAAAACTCTGTGGTGCACTGTATCCTTTCTGTTTTCTCAAAGCACTTGGAAATTCAGAAATGTGGAATCAAATAACTTAATTCAATCAATTTCAGAAAGAAAGCAACAAGAAGAAAACTCTCAAATTATGAGCCTGAAATGTGTGTAGTCAAACTTGTGAACAGAACTGTGTTTTTTTCTAAGCAATCGTCAAACATGGCAGTGTCAAAATGCAAAGCTGTTGTATCAAAATAGTGCAACGTCATGTTGAGGTAGACAACAATAATTAGCCTCACATATACCTCATTTCACTGCAAACCAGGGACAAAGATGTGGAGGTTTGTATGTAGCAGAAATGCTGTTTAAAATGTCACGTTTTTTACGATTATATTTAAGCAAGTGTGTTTGGGGGAATTTTTTTGTACATGACTTGTGTGAACCGCCATTACGTGTAGCTGATACCAGCCAGTGTTCAATCCTTTAAGCATCTCTCAGCTTCATTTTCCAATCAGTGTGTCGTTTCTTATTGTTTACAGACTATGTACAAAACACTAAACCCAACTTAATTATGTCATTTTTATTTTACAGTGTTTCATCCCTACAAAGTCAAATCTTGTAGCTGGTGTCTACGAATTTTATATTTCACGGTCTGTTTGGTGAACTAAAATGTGACTGAATGGGGATAAAACAATAAAAACTGCTGTTACCATGAAGGTGTTTCTCTGTTTTCTGAAGTGTTGATGGGGATTCATTTGCTTTGCTGATCCGGTCTTAGCGTTAGTTGTAAGAGGCAGTGACAGAAGTGACAAATGCCACCAGGTGGCAGTAATTCTCATAGAGTAGTTGTCAAATTAATTTATTGCTTCTTACCCCAAAATTCCAAAGTAGTTCTCTACAGTGTTTGCAAGTTATATTTTGGACATTGCTTGATTTTATTACATATTTTCTGTAGTTCTAGTTGTATGTGACAATAACAGCAAACAGTCATGAAAAAAAAAAGATCTTTATTATCATTATTTGTTTTGTTTGCAGTGTCTTACTTTTATTCTTTCACATGGAAAATTTTAAAAATGATATTCAAAACTTTTCCTGATGTGTATTTCTTGGTTTTCATTCATCTGATTGTTTTCTAATGTTTACTTTGCGGGTGATAAATCAATATTTCATGTGGCCTAAATATGGGGAAAAAATTGGGTCATTGCTGTGGGCAGCTGTAGGATTATTAAAGAGTAGCATTATTAATATAGAGTAACTATTTTAACTAAGTAAGTGTTATTTTCAGACACAATATTGAATTAATCTTTTGAGTACAGGGTCCTTATGTCTGAATCCTGAATGTTACTTAAAAGATAAAAAAATATATATTTCCGCTGGAAACTTACGTGAAAGCAGCAAATGTCTTGAGAACAACCATAAATGACAATGAAGGTGTCTAAAAAGGTATTAACTTTCAATATTTTAATTTCACTCAGTATTATTGTATGCAGTGCAATGAATTTGAGATGTTATATACAAAGTTGATATGTTTTTTTAAGAGGAACTTGACAAACTCCAGAGTTCAGGCTGCCTTTTAAAGTCAAATCACACCTCCCATAAAAGTGACCCAAGAGACGATGTTTCAGGAAGTATTGCAAACACTGACAAGAAGCTTATCTTGAAATGTTTTTTCCGTCTCTTTAACATTGAATGAGTTATTCATTAGACAGCAGGTTAGCTAAAACAAACACAATTTTCCCCAAAATCCACAGTTTTAAAAACCCAATTTTCCTTCAGTTTACTTCAGTGGATAAAGTTGTTTGAACAGTGAGGGCATCCTGTCTGCAAGCAGAGGGGTTCATTTGTGTTGCAAATGCATTTTCTTTAACATTGCCTCAGCTTTAGATACAACGTAGAGTTTATGTTTTCTGAACTGGTATCTATTTTTCTCCAGCATCTCTTTAATGGAACAAAAACTCACGAGAAACATTTTGCTAAAAATTGCATGCTTTTTGTAGTCATCACTATACACCCTCGCTTATTTACTTCCTGTTTAACCACAAACTGTGTCACTCATCAGGGATTTGATGTATAATTTGTATTTCCATGTTCTGTAAGAGGAATTAAGCCACTTCCTTGTTATAAAAAGAGAGAAGTTTGCTGTTCATACAGAATCTGACAAGAGCGTTGCATCAAAACAGGGAGTCTTAGGCTCTTTGTGTACTTTCCTCCACACCTTGACGGAAAATACTCAACCCCGTCCTGTTAATAAATCACCACATAATCTCTTATTTTAAATGTGAGCATATTGTAATGAACGGTCGTGTTCAGTTGATTTGACTGAACCTTTCTGAGCATCTTTATGCGTCAGCGTTGATGAGCGAGAAATTCTCTTTGTTCACGGAAAAAATTTAAGAAATGTGCCATAAAAAATTTGAAAGGTGTGACCCTGAGGAATGTGACGTTGTTTATTTGGGTGACGAGGCAGTTAAAACGATGTGAAAGAGCTGCTCCGGCCCACCACAGCAGATGCCCAGTTTAACCCAGTGTGTGAGCTTTGTGTCCTCGGCGTCTGTGCTTTTGTTTGCTCTCGCCGCCCTCAGAGTGACGCGAATGATGTTCTTATCTTCAGGGCTGGTAAATGGCCACATATTGGGCTGTGTGCACAGAGAGATAGCAAAGAGGGAAAAACAGCTATAAAGGAAAGAAGTGAGCTTTGATGATGTTGAAATATGAGCAGTTGGTTGAAGAATAATTCCATAAAGAATGCAAATTGGTGTTTTTATCCTGCAGTAAGGCATGTTGAAGTAACTTTAAGTAAACTTTTAAGTGACTTAAATGTTCCAACCACCTTAAGGATCAAGTTACACCCTGCCAATTTAATGACACCATTAGTTAATATGTGCATAAAGCAAAATAATAAAGTAGTCCTTTATTGCAGTTGTGAAAAAATCTTGTCGTTTCCCAGTAATGAGTTTAGGGGGTTTACACACCAGTGGCTCAGGAGGTAGAGCTTCGTCCTGTAACCATTGGGTTGCCAGTTCAATTCCCCATTCTGACACCCCCGTGACGCCAATTGAATGGAAACCTTGTTTCTGTCAGTCAAGGCAGGGCAGCTGTGGCTACTTTGTAGCTAATCAGTGATGACTGATTGTAGTAGAAAGACTTGGAGTTCATAAACTGCGATACACAGACCGTTTACCTTTTCATGGCGCATAATTGTAAGAAAAACTTGCAACTTGTCCAGTCTGTTTGTCACAGTTTTACAAGTCTTTGAAATGGAAACAGGCCCACAGCATTACATATCCTTTACCGTACTTCATAGTGGTTATGGTGCTCTTTTTATACATCCTCATCCTTTTGATATCAGAGTAAGACCGCTCAAAGTATTTATTGATCTTTTTTTCAAGGAGAGGTACATTATTGCAGACGTGTAGCCATTTTCTTGGATCCATTTCCGAAGTTCAGAATATGAAGAAACCTCTGTTTATTTGAACGGCATGCATTTTTGTCTTTCCTAAATTCATTAGGAGCATATGTATCATTTCATATCTATGGCTCAGAGAAACACAGTCACTCAGATCAATTAAAAAAAAGGGCAGTTCAAATTCAATTCAGAAATACTTCATTTATCCCAAAAGTAAGCGACATGGTGCTGTAACTAATATCATCCAAGTATCTTCAGAGTCGTGAATGATGATGATGATGATGCAGGTAGAAGGCTCTCTAATTATCAGTCAGTGTTGCAATGAATCTCTCTTTTTAAAAGCAGCAATAGTTGCCCAAAGTGATCCACAGGAACAAATCGTCATACATTGCCCATCATAAATCACCTGTTAATAAGGCTGCTTATTGTCTCTAGCAGCTTTAATAACATCTACTCGAGAAGGTGTATTTGTTTTATGGTCAATGAATCATAATTTTATATCTGATTTAACATTTCAGATCAAAGACAAATATGAAACTGGTACAAGAAGAGAAGAACATTTTCTTGTGACCAAGTCACAGAAATGAGATGACTGGACTTCAGTCTTCTATAGTGTTATCAAACACGTCATTTATTGTTTTAATTATTTTTTTAATTTGAATTTGAATCATATTCCTTGATAGTTACACATGGTGTATTATTAGCTGAACTCACTCTGCCGGTTAGTGTCATTTAACAAAAAATGATAACACTTCTGTGCATTTCCCTTTAGATATTTCCCTGTTGCTTCACACCTTATTTAAATAAAGAGGTTATTAAAATGTTTCTGTAGAACTTGACATCATTATGACACGATGACATTCTGCCTTGAATCATGTGAGCTTTTATAGGAACACATTTCATTCAAGCAGGACAATGGGCACTGAAGGGCAGAGCTACAGGCAACTGTTATTACCAACTTCAATAAAGAAACAAACTACACCGTCTATCCGTAAAAGCAATGAAGACAACGTTTTTCTTTTAAATTACAAGAAGCTCAATCTGTTTTTTACTTCAATTTTTAACTTTAGAGGATGTGAACATTTGAGTGGAAGGTTGTTTCACTGGTCCCTTTAAGCACTCTGAACTCTCCATCCATCTGTGTTCCTCTTCCTCTTCCCCGTGTCTGTGGTGGCTCGTATTTATCATTTTTGTTCCATTATGCCGGGTTTGCACAGGAAGTTTGTAACACTGTAAATGCAAACTTTAATGCCTTTGTTTTAGAGATTTTATGTGATAGACCGATATGCAGAAAGTCAGAGGAGATAAACTTGTTTAAGCAAAAATGTGAAAGATGTTTATGTCAAATGACATCAAAACTGGACCTTCTGGAATCAAAGTACATCCATGCATTAAAGTGGCCTAGTCAAAGTCCAGAACTTAACCAAGGACAGATGTGACAGATGTTTTTACGGAAAATTGGCAAAAAGATGCACAAACTGGGTAAAGCGATATCACAGAGGATACAAAACACTGTCAGGGTGACTTTTCAAAATTTTATTTACAAAATAAACAATTTCTTTGCGCTTTCCAATAATTTGGCATAAGATGTTCATCTTTGGGTTGGTTTATTGTAAAAAAAATCCCAATGAAATTTTTTTAAAGTTGTGACTGTAAAACAAGAAAATGTGATAGTTTCAGAGGTATTAAATAATTTTCAATGCCCTGTTTCCTTTATATCTCCACTGTTCTGATTTACCTGGTCTAGAGGAATAACAATCAGCAGTTTTACTCTAATCCTGATCATCATTTATGTTTCTGCTTGAATCACATTAAGTTTTTACTATTGTGCCAAACACAGAACTATACCAGTGAGGCAAAGGATTATTCTTGTAAAGACATATGTTTCTCTAAAGTTGATTGTTTTAACAAAAACAAACACTTATAATGAGGGAACCAATCAGTTTGCAAGATAAAAAAGAACAGATTCAAATTATGTCCTCCCCAACACTTTTTCTTTTGAGCTTCAAAAGGCTGCATAAACTATACATTATCCAATAAATTATTTCAACTGGACATAAAATATCAGCAAAAAAAAAAAAAAAAAACTAAATGCATGCAGAGAAACTGAATATTGACTATCTTGATTCTTTTATATTATTGCTTTTTTTCTTTTTTTTGAGGTCCTAGCAATAGCTGGAAAAACCATCTGTGGAAAAGCAAAGGTTTATTGGGAAACATCCTTGGACCTTTTATTTTTTTATTTTTACAAGGGAAAAAAAACTCTGTCCCAGATTCCTGGCATGTAATGCAACACCCTTATATCTATGGAGAAAAGTCTTGGTGTTTGGCACCAAGCAGCAGAAGTTATTGAAATATGTTGCAATGTGTGCAACTATTTGCATGAGATATGAGTGGGGTTAGCAAAGTGTTTGCATCCTGCTGGGTGTTTGTTATGTCTTTGAAGATAGACACGGGGGATGGAAAATTTGCCTGTAAAATAAAGGAATAAATGAAATAGTGTGAAAGGCTGTTGGAGGCCATGGCACCGCAAACTTGGTTAAACAATTACAAAGTATTTCATACATCACCCAGTATTTTTTTTTATAGAAATGTTATTGCTACATTCCAAGTTATTATTGGAGTAGAGCACGGCACTTATAAAGTAAACAGAGTCGAGATCAAATATTTGCTCTCTATTTAAAAAATCTCATGACCTTCTTGTCTTTTCTCCATTTGATATTAAATCAGAATAAATTTTTAGTTAATATTTAAATGTTTTTATCTACCAGGAAATCAAAAGTCAGATATTTACATACACTATCATTAGTAAGCAAAGGATTGTCCTTTTAGCCGAGATGATGATGTCATAGAAGATAGGTTTATTTACAATATTTTAGTTAAATAAAGGCACACCTGTACATGTGCTTAAAGGTCACACATAAACCTGCAACCTCATTGTGTGACATCACGAATCAGGCGGTAGAAGTCAAAAGAAGTCTTGCAACGACATGAGCTGTAAGGTTACTCAGAAAAGAAGAAGCCATTGTTGCAGAAGCAACTATAAAGTCAGATTACAGTTTGCCAATGCCTTCAAAGCAATGGTTGTCATTTCTTTAGACATTTCCTGTCATCTGATGAAGTTGATCCACATAATCTTTACCCTCACAGTGGAGAACTGAGGTAGCAGCATCATTAAGTCTTGGTGTTCTGCGGCACGTTGCAATGGCATCATGAGGGATGAACATGGAAAACTTGATGGAACATCTCAAACCTTCAGCGAGGAAGTGAAATATTAAATATTGATATACAAATGGACAATAACCCTAAGCATAAGACCAAATTCGTTAGAGAATGGCTTTATAAAGTCAACAAACAAACCTTCTTGAACAGAACTGAAAATGGGCCTAAATTCCAAGTAAATCTTATGCAAAGTTTGTGGAAGAACCAAAACGTGTCATAATGTTTAAAATCAAATTATGTGAACATTTGAATTTGACGTAAAATCCAGGCATTCAGTTGGTCATTCTCACTAACCTGAAACATAAAATATTCTGATTTAATGTGAGACAGTGAGGAACCATAAAAGTTTAAGTGTCTCATATTTTTCAAAGTGTGTAAATATCTGGTTTCATTCCAACTAATAAAGTGAGTAACACAAATCACCATTTTAATATGGATAAAAAGGGAACCCAGATTGATTAGGAAATCGTGGCTTATAAATTCTGAATGGTCATGATGACCTGATAGAGGCCATTTCTATAAAAAATACTGGGTGATGTGTCATCAACAATCAAACAAATACCGAAAAACTGACTCAGTTTTCATGAAACCGAGAGGCTGCAAGGAAACGCCACACCTCAGAGGCTAATCGCTTCCTTGGTTTTAATCACACATAAAAAGCAGAGAACAATGAACCCAGACTGCAAACCACATTTTCTATCCTTTAAATACTGGAACACTTCTCTTTTTAACTGTTGACCTATTAAACCAAGCACTGTTTTGTTTTTCCAAACTGACAGTTTTTGAGCGCTTGTGACGAGGTTCTGATAATGGCCGATGCAAGGACGTGTGTAATTATTAACTTTCTGGTTCTGCTTATCAGACCTGGAGGTATTTCAAGAAATACTTGAAGTACTTGACCTTTGTGAAAAAGTATTTTACTCATTTTAATGTCTTAACGGTAACACATTGGTGGAGCGTTTCATGTTGTGAAATCTAACCTTGCTGAAAACTGCGGCCGTCTTTTTCGGAGTGAGCTGCAATAGAAAGTGAGGCTAATCAAAATTAAAGGTTGGCTAACAGAAAATTACTGTTTTTATAAGTGAGTCATTGTGGTTTTTGAGTTGTTTAGAGTTATCTTCTAAACAAATCCAAAACTTAAAAGTAGATTTTTGTATCTTAAACAGAAATCTTTTAGAAACAATTTGCCTTTTCTGACACAGATTAGGCTCAGTATTATATGGTTTAATAGTAACAAAAAATATTTGAATGTATTAAATACCATAACAATGTATGAAAACATTAAATATACTTAATATTTTCTGGAAGTGACTTTAAATCTGTACATTTGTATATCTTTGGTCAAACATATGGTTGGTAAGCCAGGCTCCTTCACATATTTTTAGTTCTCAAGGAATTGTGATTACCTCTGCAAATTGTTTACTTTGTCTTTCTAATGTCACTTTGCAACTTCTTTGTTATCATGCTTAGGGAGGATTGTCCATTTGACCAAATATCACCCAGCTTTGAGATTCTGTTTAAATATTTCCAAGTAATATTCATTCCTCCTGATCCTACCTATTGTCTTAAGTGCACCAATCCCTCTTGCAATAGCAAACCCTCCTGCAGCAAAAATAATGCTGTTACTTGTACTTTATAGTTAGAATTTTGTTCTCCGGCTTGCAGATTTTGCATTTTTTTCTCCAAAATGTAACAATGATCTTTATGGTCAAACATTTTCTTCTGGCCATCCACATATTGACGAGAATTAGGGTTATTTGTGTTTTTATATTAACTTTGGAGAAATGGCTTTTTCTTGCTGAGAGGCATGTCAGTCTGTGCCAGTAAAAGACTTGCTTCACTGTGGATTGTTTCATCCTTTTAACATCTTCGGTCTATGTTCTCATAACATGTCTTGCTGTAATTCTGGGATACATACTCATATTTTTCAACAAAAAAAAAATATTTTCTGAATGTTACAGTAACTTGAAACATTCCCATAGGGTGTCAAAGTGTTTCACAGGTTGAGGTGGCACCTCCCTGCCTTTGCATAAAAACGTTTAGCGGTCCTTATACATTGGACGACAAGTTTTTCCATGACATCACATTCGTTTATATGTATCAGGGTTTGGTTTTGCAGATGGCAAACAAAATGTATGAGAGAATGACACGATACACATCTGACAGAACATAATTTTTTATTTACACACAGAGTAAAAACTGGTGTGAACATTAACTCCCTCCTTTTGATGCATTTACAAACTGCCCATTTATTACAGAAGCAATGGCATTAAACTGCATGTGATATTTTCCCATGCTCCTCCTATTTCCCTGATGCCGTCAGATTTCTTTTCACAAAATCTTGGACCTATCACCACATGTAAACATTTTGAAAGTTTTAGAACTGACTTGTTAGTTGTACTCTACCATCAAAGTCCTTTGTACTCTATTTTCTAGTTTTAGTTGAGGTTGTAGTCATATAAGAAGCTTGTTTGTTCAGATACTGATGCACATTTCTAATCCAAAATGATTCCTTTACAAATGAGATATCTGCAACAATGATCCACCGTACTGCCCCCTCCGAAAATCTCCAAAAGATAAGTGGAAATAAAAGTTTGTCATGTTTGGAGGAAAACTTTTAAATAACTTCAGGATATTTCAGGCAAGTATGAAACGCTGTTCATTAGTTGCACTTAGTGGTTATATAACATGGGAACATATATATTACAAAAAGCTGGGTAAGGTTTCTTCTTATAATATCCTGACAGAACTGAGTTACAGGAACGGCTAAATCTACTTAATGGTGCACAGTAACTGGGGTTGTTTTTTTGTTTGTTTCACGTCTAAATGGGTCTGTGCTTTCTAAGACAATAAGGGCAAAAAGGCAGCACCATATTTACATTGCATTCCGTTCAATGATTGAATCCCAAGAAGTCAAATTAATTTTAAAACCAAGTTGTCCTTCAGTTACACTTCCTGATGAAACTGTACTGGGGCAACTAATAGAAACCAGCTGCAGAGAGACCTAAAACAATGAAAACAGAAAAATCAGGTTGATCCTTCACCTCGAGCAAAAGATGAAGAGATTTAGAGCAGAAAAGATGCATTTTTGTTTGTGATCCAAACAGCAACATTTTTAGACATTTGAGGTATGCTGTCTGGGGTAAAATGGTGAAACAATGTGCTGTTTTTCTAAACTTGCCACCTTATTTTTCAGTGGCTATAAGAACAGAAAAAAAAATCTATTAAAAGCTTCAGTTTTACAACCCTGCCTATTCATTCTTGGGCTGCTATCACCCCGTTCCTTTCTATGCAAACATCGAGCTAAAAATAGTTTATCATTAAAGCGTCTTCATTTGTCGAGTTGTCAGGTCTGTCTCGTTTCTATGGGCGGAGCCTCACAGCTTCAGAGCAATAATAATGAGTGACAGGAGAGTCAGCCAATCAGAGGACGCGCTGAAGCTTTTACCGACTCCCCGGTAGGAGCCACCTGTAGCAGCCCGGAGGAGACGCCACCTGGACCGCACCGTTATATTCCCCACGGCGGCACACGGAGCGCCTCAAAGCCACAGCTTCCTTCCTCTCACTCAGCAGCTCCGGAAAAATCCCCTGCAGAGCTGCGACATGCCTCCACGATGCCTGCTCGTCGTTTTTCTCTTCGGGATTGTCTCCAAAGGTGAGTCAGGTTTTCTTTACACGGAATTAGGACCAGACTGACGTTTCAAGAGTTGTTTTAGATATTAGTTATAACATAAAATCCGACAAATTACACCTCAATGTTACATTTGAGAACCTTTTTAGTTGATAGAAGAAATAGTTTAAATATGTACGTCATGTTTATTCTTAAAAACTGGAATTTCTATAAAACATTTTCAGCTCCATCCAGAACACAATTTATAAGTCGTTTCTTTACTTTTCATTTAGACAGACTACAAAATGCTAATAGATTCAACTTTTATTTTGAAATGAAGAAAACATTTCCCCTCCTGTCATAAAGCATTTTTTATTGCCATTATTTGCTAAGCTATGAACATGTTATCTAGCACAGCCAGGTAGACTTGCAGACTGATTAATAATTATTTAAAAATATATTTAAAACGAATTTTAAATAAAACCTGGATTAAAATTGTCTTACATTTACAGTAACACAATAAGATAGCATTTATGCATATTTGTCTTGTATAGAATGCAGTTAACTTGTGTGCAAAGGGTCCTTCTATTTGAGTAATTTTGCAAAATTTGGTGGCCAAACATCATAATCGTGAACATATTTATTTCAAACGGGCTTGTAACTAGTTTAAAGTCAAATAATAAAATTGCCATTAAAATCTGGAACTATATTTGATAGGTAAATGTTCTAATACAAATTGCATTAAACTCAGGAGAATCTGAAATTCTAATCTTCTGAACAATATATGTATATTTTAACAAAAAAAAAGAACAAAAGTCAGATTTTTTTGGTGTAACCAATTTCACATTCTTAGGGAGTAATTCCTAAAATTAGTGTCAGACTTGACTCACTGCTCCTCCAGCGTGACTCAAAGCTCTCCAAGAGTGGGCAGATGCCAAAGAGGAGGCATCGGTCAAACAACAGCCGGCTCTCCTGAAGCTCGGCTTCCCTCAGAGTTCACTCCCTGGCCTCTTGACAGGCTGACGGAGCTGCTTGGCGAGGTTTCAAGTCCTCTTCATTGTGTAGCCTGTGACTAAGATACCAAATCTTTTGCTCACGTTATATATTCTTTTATTCTGAAGCTTGTTGTTGTGTCACACAGACCTGGTCATATGCTGACAGTCCTCCGACTCTGTCTCCTTCACTGTGGTTGCTTCTGTATAAAGTGTTAAACAGCAGAAGCAGGGGGAAAAAGGAGCAGTAAAGAGGTCCAGATGACGACCTCATGAGGGTTCTCCTTCTCTTCTGAGTCTGGCGCCACACTTTGTGGAGCCAACACGACAATAAATTTTGCGTAAAGAGGAGCAGAGACCTTTAAGTGATGCGCTGCATCATGACTGCACATGTGTCATGTTTGGGCCATCACTCATCATGAGCTCATAAGTGGGAGTTAAAATGCAGTTACGTTCAAAAAGTCAATTTTATCCTCTTGATTTAATGTTAATTGTGAAAATAGGCCATGTTTAGGTTGTCACTCACATTCTGGTATCTGTTTGGTAATTTTCAGGGTTATTTATAGGAAAATTGACAGATACTTCCTTCTTTTTGTTTTTCTGTGCTTCTGATATTAATTCCACTGTCCTATTAAGCTTCCCCATATCTGTTTATCTTCCTCATTTCACCCCCACCTCCTGGTTCATGTTGCCTCTCGGCCCACTTTTCACACACGCTTGCTGCCGTCTCTGCTCCCGCTTCTTCCCCTCGGTCGCTGCATGTCTGCAGCATCCTGTTGGATTAGGCCTGATTTGGGGCAGTAAATCTTGTCCTGTAATTGGAAAGCATGTGCTGGCGGAGCTTTAATTGGATATGATATGTGCAGAGGCCCTGTAGGCGAGCTCTTGCTTCAGGGAGCCATCTGTTACCTCTAAGTTGCGGCAAAAGAGCTCTGTTTGCCCACATGCACAGAAGTCATTGCTGTGCAGCACCTCCAGCTCAGGAAGCTGCTTAAATCAAATACTCACCAATTAGCAAAGAAAAAAAACACAGTATGACACAATCAGCTTTAGATACTATATCTGTTGCTTGTCCTCTAAACATACCGAGCATCGTGTGTGTATCAGGCACCAAGCCGACTTTTACGCTGCAGGAAACGAAGCAGTCCAAGTCAGGAAGAAGTTTATGACACAGTCCAGATGAGGAGTAGAGAGCTGCTTTATTTTATCTCATCCACTATCAGTACTTATTGTAGATAGTAGCAAAGTTTTGATGGTCTACCCAGATTGTGATGTTACATCCTGTCTGAAAGAGTCATTGAAGAAAATAAATTAAAAAAATTAAGTAGGGTTATTGTATCATTTACCGTGATATATTTCTTACGATAAATCCAATTAATGATAAAACCCCGAAGCTGTTCATATTTTCAGGATTGTTAATTTTAATATTTTCTCCACTGTTTGTTCACTGAAAGTATACAGTACATATCAATACATGATGAACTGCTGTGTGAAGTTTGGTGATACAAATCACACTTTCATGTGACTGGTAACTTAAAGAAATGTTTTCCACTTCTATGGCTACAATTTCTGTGCCATGCAGTCACAGCCATACAAGTAGTAATAATAGTTTTTATGGTCACTTCATTGCAGTACTAATGATTACATTAGTACTGCAAAATATTGCAATACTAATGCAATAAAAATTTAAGTCCATGTCACTCACCCCTATTTTGAACTTCATATTTTTATCAAGGTTTAGTAGCAAAATCTAATGCTCTATAAATTGCAGCTCCCTCCATTCATTAAGAGGTATTCAAATTAATTATGTGAAATTGAAGTTTAAAGAATACTGCGCAGCCTTCCTGTTCCAGTAAATGTTTTTGCTCTCTCTTGCAGAGTGAATAAACAGCAGACATGTCTAAACCTCTTTTTTACAAGTTTACTTTTGAATACCTTCACTTCTGTTCTTCTCCTCATTTAATTTTAAAATGCTTTGGAGATACTGAAAAAAAATTAAATCTGATCTTCTCCATGGTAACAACCTGGACACTGACAAGTATAGTTGTTTGTTTTCACTGAGGTGCTTATGTGCATCTCATCTATCTGGTCAAATGCATCTTTCATGGTTTATTACTTTAAACAATCTCATTTGTTTTGATTATCAAGAAACTAAAAGTTGTGATCAGTCAATAGATGATACTTAAGACTTAAAGAGACAGACATCATATCTCTTTAATACATAAGAGAAAACAATAAACATAGAGAAAATGATAAACTATTGAAGATTTTTACAGACACAAAAAAATGTAATCTTGAAATTTTAAGTTTCTTCCCAACTACTTTGTTTTTCTTTGCAAAGGGGAAAAATGAGAACATGACCTTTTTGAGAACCCTTTAGCTCAGTTTCTTAAGCTCTCATTTCTTAACTGGGAGATCAGTGGTTTAATCCACGCTGTCAGATTCTCTGATAATCTCATTTTTGGAATAATAGTCTTATGTTTAAATGGAAATGAAAATGAAAGAGGCTAAGACAGCATTCTATGTGAGTTAAAAAGAAAGTACCTTGAAAATGTATAGTTTATGTACATCTGAATGGAGTTGCGCATCAGATTATGTTTTTTTGGTCTTCTTCATACATGCCAAGGGAGCAAGGATGTCTTAATTTCCCATATTGTTTTTCTTTAAGCACAGTGAAACAAAATTAGTTATGTCTTAATTGCCCATAAATCTGATTATCAATTTGGTAATTTTATGTTGTCCCAAAGTATAACAAGTGTAATTTCAGGCTCAATTCTTGTGGACTTTGATTGATTTCAAATTACTCTAAATTCGGTGCTGAACAATCCCAAGACAGTTGAAAAATGAGTTTGTGTTTTTGAGATTTTGCTTTTCAGTAGTGTTCATGTGTATATTACACCTGGACTCCCAGAAAAGTATGTTGGCTATATTTCAGCTCCTCTGTATGAGGCATCCTGTTGGCCTCTGATCAGGACACTGATAGACTTTTCTGTCCCCCTGCTGAACTGATGTCCACTGAGTCTCTTTGATGTGGAAACCCCTTTGGCAGATTCTTTTAAATACTTTTAAATACCAGGTGATCATAAGTCAGTTTGTAAGAATTGATGACATGTATATGCAGTAATTAGCTGCATATACATGCAGCTAATTGCATGTATTGTGAATTATGTCTTAAACAAAACAGTCTTTATTGGAACCCTGTGTCTAGAGCTCAGATTTCCACTGATTATTGAGTTGCAAACATGTCATTTCATCTCCTGCTCAGTGTGCAGAGTTTAATCTGTTGCTTCCTTCATGCAGTGCAGCTGAATGAGCTGGCAAACTATCTCAGAACCATACTTTTCCTCCTTTCTGAACAATGTACTGGAAATATTGGATGATAGGTCCAAGAAAGCGTGTCTCCTGGCTTTTTATTCTGCGTATCATAAAACTTTGGCTTCTGTTATCAAAACCAATGAGGATTTATTTTATGGGAGTGGCAGTTCTGATGGGAAGTTCAGGGTGTGTGCACCAGGAACAGGATCTGATGGTCAGGTCATGAGCAGGTACTTCACAGGAGTGCCATTGTGCCACAGGGATAAAAATCCCCTGACCTGCAGTCCAGAGCTGGAACATGAGCAGCGCAGCCAAAGCTGGAACGTGTCTCCATTTCTGTTACAGTAACAAATCTGAAAGGAGTGAAAACTGAAATCCTCTCCGTGACATTCCTATGCCACTCTTTATTCTGCTAGACCTAGAAAAGGAGAATAGATTGGTTTTAATGACAGTTTTTGAGACATTGTGAATAGAAATAGAGCAAAGCCAGACTTTACGAGGAACCACATCCCCCTTAGAGGGGCTTTTGCAGGACGACCTTAGACCCACTTGTCACCCAGCCTGACCCAGTCATTTCTTTTGTGTCTGCAAGAGATTATCCGCCTGTAGCTTAAATCCTTAAAGCCAGGACTCACAGTTAGACATGCAGCGCAGAGTGTGCTTTTAATTACGCTGCTGTTTCAGCATTATCACTTTGGCATCATCTTTCAGGTTTCAGATTCTTAACTTCATATCATTACATACAGTTAAATTACAAATTATTCACACCCCTTGCAGATTTAGATTGATATATTGACAGTAATTTATGCCCTACTCAATAATCAACAGAAAAATACTTATTGGAATTGCAGTTTTGAAACTTTTCTTGTAATTGCTGAGAAGCTTTTTGTTTGTGTCCACTGATATTTTGATTATTTATCTTTGGTGATGAGGTTGGAAGGCCTCCTTTCCACCACTCTAATCTTTAACTCCTTTCATTGATTCTTGATAATATTTAGGTATTGGCAACAGCTCCAAAATGTTATTTTTTATCTATTAAACATGGATAAACATGCTGTAAAATAAAATATGAAAATAAAACCTAAATATTCGAGATTTATGAATAATTTTGGGTTTAATTGTACATTTAAACACTGATGTGCCGAGTTAGTAGAATGAGGTGTGGAAAATTATTTGACATGCATTAAGGAAGTACAATAAAAACACTGGTAACATAGTTAGTATGCTTCATCTTTATATGGAAGCTTGTTTATGCTGTACTCTGAGTTCCTTATTTGTGACTGACATTTTCCTGTCTGTGGATATAAGGAAGCACATTTGAAAATGACAGTGAGAAGAGAGCCGCGTTGTTGATTTTTGTGGTTCGTCATTTCACAGAAACTCTTATCTCTCTGCTCTGCTTTTGTCTGTCACTTCCCCTTGCTTCAATTCAGAGAAGGGGTAGGGATTGTTTTTATGATGTTTGCTGTAGCTTTCCGCCATGGTTACCTGAATCATTTATGAGCCGCACTGTTGGTTTGCATAATTTCACATTTAAATTCTCAACAGCTCAGAACAAATTTTAACAACAGTGAAGACCTTGCCAAGACATATTTTATTTTTCCTATTTCTTCTGAAAAGGAAACTTTCTTTACAAAATGATACAGACGTAAAATGTTTTTTTTGCTATCATTTTTTTAGTAATTTCTTGGTTTTTAAATGGTCAAAGTTATAAAAGTGCAGGAGGTTTAGTATCCAAGAAATATTCTTTGCCAAAAGCTCTCTTCAAATTGTTCCTTTAGCTAAGGATTATAAAAGTGCAAATATTAGCAAAACCCTCAAAGGACCTCTGTGTTTTATTTGAGAGTAATTCTCTTCATTATAATTGATGGCAGGTGTGAATTCCCAAACATTAAATGCTGAAATTAATCAAAAAGTTATTAGATTCAGGAATGTGCACACTTAGGGAAATGGTTATTTTTAAATTTTCATCCTTGAACAGAATTGTTTCTTTTTTACTTGAGTAGTGGTGAATATGTGTTAAAAATGTGGATAAAGGTTTTAAATGAATGATTGTGGGTTTTTATTTAAATCACAAAACCTGACATTTTGACAAGAATGTTTACACTTTGAGGTCTATTGTATGCCTCCTCATAATGAGAACCAAGTGGGATAAAAAAGAAGTACTGTAGCAAAAGTGTGTCACAAATAGTGAATAAAACTGTAATTTGTTAAAATGTGATTATCTTAGCCATTTCTTATCAGAAAAAAACCTTCCTGTCAAATATAACCCTAAATAGTCTCTAATGTTGATATCAACCCCAAACTACACTGCTCTTTTTGCTTTATGTTCATTATAAACTTCCTTTCACAGAATTAATTTTCAACCCATTTGTACTTCCTCATCTTTTATCTCGATTGTTGAATGAACTCAGAACACATTTACATTTATTTCCAGTGATGCAGGTGTGTGTCATGCCCACATACAATGTGCTGTCGCTGGGTGTGGTTTGTCGTCTATAAATAAATAATGGTTACTAAGTGATACTCAAACAAATTGATTAATATAATTAGATGAAGTCCGGGATTAGTCTTGATATTTCCACTGCTTCCTAGAAAAATTAAGCCGTCCACCTGGCTGTCCAATCGTTTTGCTGGCTTCTGAAATGCTGTCATTCAGTGCATGCAGATGAGGACAGGATATAAGCAAGCAACGCTATTAGGAAAGACCCCCTGCTGCTGGAGAGCAGCTCAAACAGCCCTGGTACTAATTCTGTTCCACCATGAATACAAAACTAAGGTCAAAGGGGAAGAAAAAGAACTGTTTTCTTCAGAAACTGTGTTCTTCAGAAAACTGTTTTTTGAAGAAAGTTTAGCTGATATCTGTAGATGTTAAGAATATATTTATTAACACTATTTTGGTTTTTTGGACAACCTGTGTAATTCTCTAACTGTGTCTCATGTCACCAGAGCAGAGAAGGTATAATATTGCTGTTTTTATGCTTCTGTTTTAACTGCAGCACAAATGACAACGGAGCCTCCTACTGCTACTGATGGTCACAACATAACCACAAATTTCCTTACCACAGTAATAGGCAATGCAACTACTGAACACAACACAAGAGAAACAACTGGAACTTCATCAACTTCTCAAGCGATAACCATGACAGATACAGTCACAAGGAACAGTACTGAGAAGATCACCACAGGAAACCTTGCAGAAAACCCAACTACAAATGTGCAGATCACATCAACAAGCAACAGTATGCCTACACAATCTGCACAAGTTCAAACTTCAGCAACAAACAACAACATGACTATACAACCTGAGACTACACAAACTCAGACTACAGCAATGGGCAACAACATGACCACACAAGCTCAGACTACAGCAATGGGCAACAACATGACCACACAAACTCAGACTACAGCAATGGCCAACAACATGACCACACAAACTCAGATTACAGGAATTGGCAACAACATGACCACACAAACTCAGATTACAGGAATGGGCAACATGACCACACAAGCTCAGACTACAGGAATGGGCAACAACATGACCACACAAGTTCAGACTACAGGAATTGGCAACAACATGACCACACAAGCTCAGATTACAGGAATGGGCAACATGACCACACAAGCTCAGACTACAGCAATGGGCAACAACATGACCACACAAACTCAGATTACAGGAATTGGCAACAACATGACCACACAAGCTCAGACTACAGGAATGGGCAACATGACCACACAAGCTCAAACTACAGGAATGGGCAACAACATGACCACACAAGCTCAGATTACAGGAATGGGCAACATGACCACACAAACTCAGATTACAGGAATGGGCAACAACATGACCACACAAACTCAGACTACAGGAATGGGCAACAACATGAGCACACAAGCTCAGACTACAGCAATGGGCAACAACATGACCACACAAGCTCAGACTACAGGAATTGGCAACAACATGACCACACAAGCTCAGACTACAGGAATGGGCAACAACATGACCACACCAGCTCAGACTACAGGAATGGGCAACAACATGACAACCCACACTGCACAAGCTAGCACTACAGTGACAAACAGCAACATGACAACGCAAGTTCAAATTACAATGTCAAACAATGACACAACTGCAGCTGTTTCAACCACAATGTCAGGCAACAACTCAACTACAGATGCCCTGACCACAGTGACAAACAACAATGTGACTACAACGGTTGCAATTACACCGACAGTCACTGACATGACTACAAATGCATCAATTGCACCAACAGTCAACCACACAACTGCAAGTACACCACTTGACAATGATACAGCAACGACAACTACAAACAGCCACACCACCGAAAACGTGGCAACTACAACTAATGAAAACACTACAGGCACATTTGTCACAGTCACAAACAATGTCACAGCCACTACAAGTGACAATGTGACTCTAAGTCCACAAATCACACCTGTCACTCACTTCCCAACTACGGATACCTCAGACAATCATACAGCCACTACATCAGTTACAGAGATGGGAAACACCACAACTTTAATCACCAGTACCCCACATTCTAGCAACATGACAACAACTATGAACTCAGCTACCTCAGAGCAAGCTAATACAACCCTAGCAAGCTCTCCTGGAACTTCTGAGACTCCTGCATCAACCATCATATCCTTTACTTCGACTGACACCAAAAACATGACAGACTCTTCGCCCACCAGCACCCCTTCTCCTACCAGCAACTTCACAGGCACTAGCTACACTCCCTCAACCGGCAATGCCACCACCCTTAGTTCTTCACCAGCAACCTCAGCAGGTAATGCTAACCTTTTGATAAACAGCAATGTTTACTCTTAGAATACACTAGAATTTTGTACTGCATTTCATGGCATTTCTTCAATAGTGTAATGATGATTTGATGACAAAATCGTTATCATTCATTCAGGTTACCCAATCGGTGTAGTTATTAGTTATGCCACCTGTCACTGACTGGGTTTAATTTTTGTTGATTTAGAGTCCAATGTTACTATGGGAAAAACCACTACTACCATGTTACCGACAAATTCACCCGCCAACACCACTGAGAGCCTGAACACCAACACTCCTACCTCCACCGATGGGACCACCGAGATTTTCACCACCTTTCGGACAACAGAGGGAATCACCAGCAGCTTCCCCACTGAGGCTCCGACCACTCCCAGTCCTGTAATCGGTTTGTGCTATTTCCTTTTATGTCTGACTGACCATAGAACTGCCAAGGTTTCAGCACAAAAAAACAACTCCAGCAAACAGACTTAGTTCTATTATTAGTCATATTTGGAGTTAGAGCTTTTTGAGATTTTTATTAGAGTGGGAGTTATTTAGTTGATTGCCATTTATGGAACTGACTGCCAACCATAAAACACATGCTGTATTTGATCTTGAATTGAAATCGGTCAAATGTCTGAAAACCAGAGGTATGTGAAAATTGTTGTGGTTTTATCTGTTGCCAGCAGTTCAAACTAGAACTTTTTTTTTTCCATTTACACATTTAAATATTACAAGAAAGTTCACATGTACTGTGAAGTTGCAGGTGTTTTCATTCCTGCAACTTTCAGTGTGTTTTACATGAACAGGAACCATACTGATCGTATAGTACAATAGCTTGCATGCAGAACTCAAACTTTTCTTTAAGATTTCAGACCATTTAATTTCTTTGTCAAACTTGGAAGTCTGAAATATTTTTTTCTGAAGACAAATTGTATGTCAAAATGCATAAACTGTCACCACATGAAGTGATGAAAAGCTTCTTCATGATTTCATTTGTGGGTTTTTTTGTTACCCTAAAAAATATCAAGGTTTTCCTAACCTTTGAGGAACACATGAGTCCTGAAATTTCCATCAAACATTAACTTAGTGATTTAAATCGGAACAAAAAAAAATTTCATTTTCTAAACACAACTACTAGACATATTTTCATTGATGAATGGCACCACAATGGCACAAGTTTTATCTTTTTGTGAGCTGAAAGTGAAAAAAGAAAAAGAAAGACATTTAAAATATACTGTTTTCTAATTTCTCTCCTCAGTGTGTCCCTCTGTCCCCTGTCCTGTTCAAAGCGTCTGCCTCAACGGCACTTGCCAGTGTCTCTCTGGCAACTACCTACTCAATGGACGTTGTGTTCCTGGTAAGATCGCTGAATTATAAATGTTATAAGTAATGCTGTTTGTCCTTTAATATTTACACAAGTTATAAACAAGATTAAAATGTGATAGCGTTTATACCCCCTTTTTTTGGCAGCGCAAGTATTCCCAGGCAGGCTTCATTTCCTGTCTTTAACATTTGAAGATCAAATGAGAAACAGGTCCTCCAGGATCTTTCAGGAGACAGCAGCAAAAGTCTCAGCAGCAGTGAGTTGTGAGATCTCAAAGCATTGGAAGTAGCTCTTATAGATGCTTCATTCTTGCTCATCAAATTGTATTTTCTATGTTGTAGCTCAGAGACGTCCTGAAAAATCAGCCTGGATATAGACGAACAGATGTTGTTCAGCTCGAGTGAGTATTCTTTCTTCCCGTTGAACAAAGATTTTGTTTGCATGTAGTATCTCAACTCTGTTGGTGATTGTTTCCCCTATTTCTGCAGACCTGGTAGTGTGATAGCGAGCGTAAATAACATATTTGAAGACAGCCCTGCCACTCAAACCTCTGTTGATAAGATCATCAGAGAGGCTTTAAAAAACCCTGAAGGACTTCTGAGCAATGCCACATACACAGGCAAGAAGTGGCTCCATGCTTTACATCTCCTGAGTCAAACAGTTGAAATTATTTTCTCATGAGTTTCTTTTGTATGTCCTCGGTTTCAGGAACCAATCTGTGTCAGGTGGAGCCGCTACCTTGTGATGTCTCTAGTACAAAATGCACACGTGTAAATGGCCAAGCTTCTTGCTCCTGTAAAGACGGTTACATCTCCATGATCTACTCCAACACCAGCTGCAAAGGTATATTTCGTAACTAATATGTCACATTTAAACATAATAGAAACAATCATTCATGTATTTTATTTGGATTTTATGAGATTAGTCTGAAAGATATCAAAACATCAAATTTCATGGTTTTTCACAGTTTCTAAATTAGGTTTGGGTCTGGACTTTGACTGGGCCATTCTAGCCTGTTAATTTGCTTAGAAATAAACATTTCAATTATACCTGTGCCCATTTATTTACCTTCTCCCCACTCCATGATTATATTTCAGCTTCTAGCAAGTTATTGTTCAGTATTGACTATAAATTGTGCACTATGTGATATCCTGCAAAAAATCCATCTAAAATAAATTTATGTTTGTGGCTGTGTTGCTACAAAATGTGATTATTTAAACAGATACTGTATGCGTTATTAAAACTTCCTGTAAATACTGTGAAGGTGGACAAAATTGAATGTTCTTAGCTTATGTGTAGTCTGGAGAACAACAACACAACCTTCATTACTTCTGTGTGGGAATAAGGGAAAGAAACAACAGGGAGTAAAACTCACAGGCAAGGTCAAGAGCTATAGCCTTTTCTCCATGCAGACCCTTGACCCAATCTTCATTTATCTCTCTAATCTATTTCTTTTTAACTGGGATGTTACCCTGGAAACATGAGGAGGAATCGCCGCTTTGCCTCTGAGGGTGCAGGATTGTGACCAATGAGATCAGCTGTAGGGAAGTCCATAACTGAATAAGATTCAAATGAGTTGTTTTCCCAAGAAAATACATAATGTACTGTTGTGTGTTTGCTAATAGAAGCCGTTATATTGCCTCCGGAGTGCAGTAGAGTGGCAAACCTGAAACTGTAGCTTGTTCTGCTCTCCAGTTGTAGACATGTTGCAACTGAGTTGTTGTTTCTTTTTTTTTTTTTTTTTGCAGCTTGTCCAAGTGGACAGCAGGCAATACAGGATAAGTGTGAAACGTGAGTATGCACTTTTCACACAGGGCTTTGTATTGACGTTAAAGTACTAGCACCCCCTGGTGGGCATATTGTTGAATGCATTGTTGTAAATATGCCCGTTTCCTTTCAGATGTCCATTTGGGTATGCCGGTTTCAACTGCAATGACTGTAAGTGGCTTTATTCAGTATGAAGCTGAAGTTTTAGTCTATTGTGCAAAGTTCATTAAATAAAGACTTGACCTGTGTTTTCAGCGTCCCTGCTTGCAGTGGTGGTCATCTCCTGTGTGTTAGGAGGAGTTCTCCTCATCCTTGTTCTGGCTTTGCTGGTTTACTGCTGCTGGTAAGAACAGACATGACATAACCTGGTATCCATCTTCTGGTTGTTTTTGAGATGAATTGAACAGGATAACTGTCACATATTTGCATACGTTTTAAAATGATTTATTATTTTGTTTTTTGTTTTTCACAAAAAGTAGGCATTTTAATAGTTGCATGTACACTATTGAGCACCACCTCCATTGCAAATGAAACATTTTTATTCATCAAGGAGGGGAAAAAGTGCTAGACACACAAAAAGGCTTAAAAGACCGTCAGACATACCAAAAGAATGTGACTCCTTGGAATCACAACAAAGAACTTGCATTGAATTAACAGAATAAAAATAGCACCAGCCATACATTTTATATTTTCTACTTTCTCTGTGTTTATCAGGAAGAGATGTTCAAGGACCAACCCTGACCGCAACATCAGTCCATACTCTGATGAGTTAAACAAGTCATGGCCTGTTGGCATCACCCCAATCCCACGTGCCAACACACACTGGGAATCAGCTGGTTCCATAGAGATGACAGAAGGGGGCAGCACCAACATGCTGGCGGACAAAAAGCCAGAGAGCAATGGCTTTGTAAGTTGATCCCATCCGGGGAGAAACTTTCCTGCTTTTTAAATAAGACCATCTGCTCAATCATCACTAACCTTCATCAAAACACAAACTTGATTATTTGCACTTTGAAAACACCTGACTAACTTGCTTAATTTCAACACAATAAAACTTTAGACAGAAAGTCTAAAATCAACAGAAGACAGAGGTCAACTAAAGGATTTTGACCTGCCTGTGAAGCATTAACAGCAAACACACTTATGTTTTTAAGCCTGTTCACAGCAGTGCGTTTAATCTATTCATCCAGTATGTGAACACAGTGATCCTAGCATTAGTACCCACCGCTGCTCCTTGCTTTGCCTGACTTATAGTATGTTGCTTTAGGGTGCACAGCTGAAGCCGAAAAGATGGAAAAAGGTAAGGTATGGCTTTGCTTTCAGATTCCAACTTCCCTTGATGCCCCCGCTGATAATTTAGACTGCATGCATGCATAATCATGGTGGGTGTTTCAGGGTGATGGAGAAACTTTGCCAATTTTTTCTTTTGTTGTTTTTGTTCTCGAGGTCGATTGTAGCTAATTTAGTTCCATGAATAGCAATAAATAAGTAGGGTTATAAATGTTTGTGTGTTAGGCTTGTTTGGGGTGTTTGGGTATAAACACGTAAAGCTTAAAAATAATAACACTGTGTTTCCCCTGACATTTCAGTCAGGATCGTACGATCTGAATCCAGAGGAGATGAAGACCTTCAAAGGTAAAAACACGTCCCGTTACTCTTATCTGGTCGAAGGGCACGAGAACCCCTACTTCCTTCCTGGTGATGAGAAGAGAAAGTCCACAAAGAAATGATGATCAAATTCTCTGGGACAACTGGAGAACTTTCAGTCTATCCAAGCAGGTCCATTCAAGTTGAGATGTTTTTATTGTTATTTTTTTGTGTGTCTGAATCATGTCTGCTTTTAAGAAGTCCAGCTAGCATTTGTCAACTTTACTCATCAATATCAACTCAGTTTTCGTTTTTCACCTGTTTATTTTTTGTGTTTTGTTTTTTGTAATAATCATGCCTCCTTTGCTGATTGCACTAAAGTTTACCTCAACTTTGATCATTTTGAAGGTGAATTGAATGCTAGTTTTATAAAGTTACTGTAGCTAATCTTCAGAATGGGATGATCACTTTATAGAAAAACAACTCTTGTACGACTAAAAGGGCTGGATCCCTGGTTTGAATATTTTTTAAAAATGTTGTACCAGTCTAATGCAGAGAGTATTGCAGAATGTGCCTGGTTTAGTGGTCCGTTTTACAAATAGGAAACATTATGCAACGCTGGTGATAAAGCCTGTCTCCTGGATGTGCCAATTACCACTTGTATACTTTTTTGGAGGGAGAATCTATATTAATATATTTATCTTTATGTGGCACACACTGTTTTATAAGTGACATTTTGTTTTGTAAATATTTTAAAATTGAGTGAGAGTGTGTGTGAGAGTGTGTGTGTATGCGTGGACTGACTGGTGAAATAAAATAATTTAAACACATGAAATGTGTCATCATTACTGCATTTGACTAATAAAACACACCAACTTAAAGAGGTTTTTCCCTATTTAGTAGACTTTGTTTTTAGCCCATTGTTTTGTTGTTATTCAGGTATTGGTAAAGGAATTATTTAAAGTTATCAAAGAACATATATTTTCTGACAACAGTTTCAGTTTTACTTCCTGTTTTATTTTGAAATGCTTAGTTTTGGTTAATCTAACTTCCTGTTTTTGGTTAGTAATCACTCTCACCTGAGTAGCAGTCATCTAGTCTCTACCTCAGTACCTGTTTGCACACTTATTTTAAAATGAAACTTATATTTGCTTTTACTGGAACTTTTTTATTATTATTATTATTTATCTGGTTGCATCCCGATATTTGATTTGAATAAAGATTTGTACATTTTCCCTCCATCTTTTCCAAGTAATTGTAGTTCTGTGCTAAATTTGTTTAGCAAATTAAAAGCTCCAGAACAAATACTTACACCTAATATTTAGTTTGATACCATGGACAATATTCAGCATATTGGTTCCAGGATGAGTTTTCCAGTCTTGTGAACTGAAAAACAATATTTTTACCTCTGGATTTTATCTCGTTAGAACCTCAGACTTCTAAATTTGGATTTATGTGAGAGACCAGGTGTTTTTATTTTTATTCAGTCAATACTTTGAAATCGTTTTTTTCCAAGCTTGGTTTTCCTTTATGATTTGCCATCATTTCTAACCATCATCCCATCTGAATAAAAGCATTCCCACAGCATGATGCAGACCCTTTTATGTTTCACTATGTGCGTGATGTGCAGTTTTAGTTATCACTCACAATGTTTTGCCTGTTGACTCAGACTTTTCTTTGGCTTTCATCCAACAACTTTATATCTTAATCTTTCTATCATCTATAAAGACATTTGTAAAGTGCATCATTTTCTTCCACTGAACAAACAATTTGTGTTGACCTGTCATATAAAGTCCATTAAATTATATGGAATTAGTGTTTGTTCAATGACAGCATGAAAATGAAAGGGCTAAAGTGCGTTTTCAAGTTTTCTGTATTTAAACTATGTGCGAGGCCTTGAACTGCAATTAGCATAAAATCTCGTTCCTAATAAGGCTCTTTCTCTCAACCAGGTCACGGTTTTCATCTGTGAAGGAATGCATTGTATTGTGGGGCCATTACCATCCTGCCAAGCGCTGTTCCCATCTGCAGCACAGTCCATCAGTTCACAGGCTCAGCTGACTGATCGATAGACCACTTAGCAGCCGTGAGGTACACACTTCCCAGTCATTTGACCTGCAGGAGCTGTGGGAATGGGAACACAATCTGATAAGCATTGAGCCACAGAACCAAACGCGCCCGACTGACAACTTAAGGAACTCCCCCCTGCAATCCAGACAGACGCAGAAGCTCGACAGATCAGGTGTCACAGCTGTGGTTGCACACTCATGCACACTAAAACGTGGCTTAATTACTAAGAGTTATAAAAAGGGGAGAGTTAAGCACATTAAGAGTAGTTTCTAGTCAGGTTATTTACATGACATAGCACAACCAGATGCAGGAAACGGTTGTATTGCAGGACTTTAATTCATTATTTCAAATGAATAATTTCCTAAACACTTCAGTAAAAGACAAAGTGATAAATAATTGAAAAGTTTTTGTTAAAACTGATTGTTCTTGTGAATGTATCTGGTTTTAATTTTGAACATAATTTGATTGTTGGACTGCTGCTGCTGAGATGGGATTCCCAACCTAAACACAGTTTGTACATCATGAATAATGACATTTTCTATGAGTCGTGAGGCGTTTTACAAGATGACAATTAAATAATGCAGACTTAATGAGTTTTGCCTTTTTTCAGATAATTTACAGACGACATTTAACTTACTCATCGAAAAAATAAGACGTTCTTCATCAAATTTGTTATTAAATTTTTGTGTTCTGCTAAACTTTTTCTACATTTTATCCAGCTACTAATCTATTTCATTGGACATTTTGGTGAATAAAAACTTTTATGGTTATTTGTACAAAATGACAAATAAAATATAAAGTGTTTGGTTCTTTAGCCCATCTGAACCAATATTTTTCTGAACTACTTTCCTCTCCATCAGCTTTTGACACAAAAAACAGATCAATAGTTTCCACATGTAAAATAATTTCCAGAAATTATTCAAATGTTTTACATTTTTCACTTAAAATGCAGGATTTTAGGTTTATTTGAGGTCAAAATCTGGAGATGTTTGTGATGCTGACTCCAGTCCAACCCCGGCATATGAAGCGGAAGACGGTTTCCAACCACTTGAGTTCACACAATGATAGTGACAAACAAACTATCTCAGAAATTTCTGCCAAAAACCCAAGAAAGGAAGCTGAAACCACCTGCTCCTTTCTCACTTCTGAGAGTGATCAGACCCTCCCTCTCCTCCTCTCCCTCCTCCTTTTTTCTGAGTAACTTTGCAGGCTGTAATTCACTTTGTCTAATGCAGCTCTGCAGCAGCCGCTGAAGTACATGAGGTTATGAAACATTTCCCAGCAGCAGTGCAGCTCTCAGCCATAACTCCTCACTTGTCACTTAAACCACCATTTTTTCCTTCTTAAACTCTGCACCAATACTGAGCAACTGGGACATTATAAAAACTTCAGCTCTGTGTATGTACATGTATAGTCATTTGCTTTTCTGGTTTTCAGTGCAAATCATCTGAATGTTCTTTACGGGTGTTTATATTTTGTATTTTCTTTTTCTTTTTTTAACCATTTAGCAGTCTCTGTTATTCTCTTTATGTTGAAAATTCACTTTGGGTCAAGCATTAGCTGTCGGATAAATGACCTTCTGTCTGACTCTGAAATACTTTAGTGTACAGAAAAGTTCAACGTTGAATGGATGACGTGAGTTATCATTATATGGTGTTACTCAAATTTCTCAACAAAAAACTGAAACTTTTTTGCTTATAAAATGAAACTTTTGGTTCCTTTTTTGCATTTTTCCCCCCTATTTTGTCCCTGGGACGTCACTCTTGAGTAGATTAGCAACTTTCTGAAAAAATAAATAAATAAAATAAAAAAAGTTCCTATTTGCCTTGACTGATTGGCAGCTCTGTGAAATGCAAAAAAAAGGGGATATATCTGTTATGCTCTATCTAGTAGTTTATTCTCGATTCTCATTGTGTTATTTGTTGTCTTTGTTAGATGAGAGTAGTCTGAGGTCGAGGGGATCTGGAAGTGCCGTGAAACAGAGTGGAGAGGGCCAGGCAGGCAGTAATACTGACGAACCCGGGAGGCTGAGAAAGTCGTGGCGCCGGGCGGATATTAAAGGACAGTAAACCTCCTACTTCCAGACAAATGGCAGTGATTTGCTGAAAGGGAGAGCAGTAAATATGATAGCAGTTAATATTATACAGACAGGCGATACCATCCTCCCTGTTAATCTGTCTCCACTCAGAAGTGCTTGCTCAGCTACCATTATTTTTCATTTCTTTTTTCACCAAAGGCTATCATAACTCACCTACATAAAAAATGCATTTCTTAGTTTTACTTCAAAACACATACTTTATGACCATTTTCTCTGTTCTTTCATGCCTTGAATTAATTTGGGATTCATTAGAATGATTCTGACAACTCTGAGACACCTACTCTTGCTACATAAATATATAAAGATATGCAAAACAAACGAATCCGATCAAAAATATGTTTAAAATTAGAGCTATTTAAAGTCCCAGACTCACAGGTGTTGTTTTTAAAGCTTGGTCTCTGCATTTTCCATGCATTTGATATTGCTACACAATGTAAGAAAAACACCTTTATCCTTAGGGTAAAACTGAGGGTAATATTTGCATGAAGGACCTGTTTGTTAAAGAACAATTATAGCATTTTATATTACTTTTCCTCAAAAATTGGCAAAACGTGTTTTTCTACAGCCTTGCAAACTAAATAAATAATTTTAATATCAATGTGAGCTAGAAAGTAGAAAACTCTACTAAAAGGCTTTAAAAAAATAATATACAAGACAAATCTCCGTTTGCAGAAAGATTTTACTGGACATTTTTTTTTTTTTTTTCCTGCTGCTCCTGTTCCAATAAGAAGACACTCTGTGTCCTCCTTCCTCCTGGGTCATTATGCATCTGCAAATAGCTCAGAATAATGGCTCTCTGTCTCTGGCATAAACTCTATTATCTGATGGCAGCTCAGTCCATTTGGCCCCTCCAGAGATGGCTGAACATGCAGAGACCCAGTTTATGGCCTATTTGTTGGGTCAGCAGACAGCTTGGACCTCCAGCTCCGCCCATTGAAGTCAGCATCAGTCTGATCTTTTTCCTTCTGCCCCAAAAGGAATTGAGCAGATGTCGCTGAATCAATTTGGTTAAGACCCATAAGGACCTCGTCTCTAAATCACCGTTTGGGGTGTGTAAGAGTTTTCCCCCTCAGCTGCTCTGCAGAGTCATAACTGCAAAAGTTCAGAGCAAAGTTTATTTTTATTTTTGATTCTGTCCTCATTTTAATACAGCCAGTACATAACAATCAGCATATTTGTTTAGACTAGAAAACAAAAACTCTAAACTTTACAGATACAGCAAAGTGCCTTATGAATGATAAAATTAGTTTTACTGCAGTATGTTTGGTAGGTCACTCCTACCAAACTGTAAGTTTTGATAATAACACTAAGCCTGTTAAAGGTGTTATTTTTTTTTACAAAATCTGACTGTGCCCTTTAAGGGAGCAGAATATTTCTCACCTTAATTTGTTCTCATTGAGAACAAGATCCATCTCAGGAGAGTTAATCCTGTTGTGATCTTTTCATGAGATTGTAATCCGTTCTCTGCGAATAGAGCTTCTCAGATAAAGCATCTATCATTATCTATTTTTTAAGACAGAGCCTACATTTCTTTCCTCTTGCTTTCAGGAGAGTGGTCTGAGTTTGCACTCTTCTGAAAATGTTAGCAGGTTTTAATTTTGCGGGTCATGACAGGGGCTGTTTTGAAACATGTAAGCAACTGAATGAAAGAAATTCAAGGATTCATAGATAAATATTTGAACAAATAATGACACATTTTTCAAAAGATTTCTGAATTTCTAAATGAGTGAAATAATCATTTATATTTTGGACTGAGATGTACTGAGAGGCAATCAGACAAAATCTTTAGACCACAACGACTGACATATTTTGGAACCTTGGCATGCTGCCTGTGTGGAATAAGATGTTATTTTCACCTTTACAGATTACAGATTGTAACTAAAGATCTTGTTTGTGGTTTTTCATCAACGAAGCGAGGAGGGTTTTATAACCCACAGTGACATATGTTTTATTGCTTCGCTTAAGCTGCAAATATTTGCAGATGTTCAGAAGTCCTGAATACTTCAGCTGTTCTCCTGAACTGTATGAAATAAAATGTATGTTTATAGGAGGTTTGCATGTTTCCGTTCACCTCTTCAAGCCTTGAGGTGATTTTGAAAAGAAGGGGTCACAAAAACAGCCTGGATCCACATGTGATTACCATGTGAATGAAGGAGGGCGTGTGTCTTGGAAGGGAGGGTCATGACATTATTAAGATGGTGTGTTTTGCTAAGAGAGCGACATGCAGCCAGACAAAGAGGGAGCAGACGCTCTGTAGGTGGATGAGGGCTGATACAGCCGAAGCCTCAGTTCTGTCAAGAGCAGCCAATCAGATTAATTCAAAGTGAAGTCAGCTAAGTAAAGGGCTGAAAGAATGAAAACAAAGCTTTGTCTTCCACACTGAGTTAGAACTCAAATCTCACTTGTTTATACAAAACGGAAGGAATCATTACATACAATATATGTGTATTATAGTGTATATTTGATTTCTAGCTTTCACACTTGCAATTCCGACTTTATGGAAACTTTTAAAAATATATACCATAAACATATTGGTAAAATAAAATGCAACCTATTATGCAAGAATGGTTTTTTTGTTTGTTTCTATAATAGTAAATATTTGGAAATGCTGCTGCATTGGTGATACTTATGAAAAGCTTGAGAACTATTTAGTCTATGGTAAATCTATATAAAGCTTGTACCTGGTAATTTTGAGTAATGATGACATAGCAACTTGTAGTAACAATGATGGAATCATTTTTATCTTTTTTTTTCGCCTCAGTAAATAACTTTCAGCACCTTGGACTCTGAAAGCTCTGTGTTTGGAGCTATTCTGTCTTTAGCTATGCTAGGAGACTTTTGTTGTAAACATCTTCCCTTAGTACTTGATCGTCTCCAGGCTGGCTTGAATATTCAGTTGCATTTGTTAAGTGAAGCTTAACATGTCGAATGAAAACCAGTAGTGCTACAAAATCATTCAGGATTCTTGTATTTCACAAATCGAAATCATTTTGCTAATCCAAACTGACCATAAACAGGAAATGTCTGATCTCATTGAATTTCAAAGAGATAGGAAAAAAATGCTTTTGTCTTTATGCAGTGTATGTTAACATTTGGTTTCAACTGAACTGTAAAGTGCCAAAAAGTCCAATTCCACTATCACTTTCCTTTTTCTTTTTTTAAACAAAACGTTTTTATTTTTCTCTGCACATCATTTTCAGCTTCAGCTTACAAACCGTCACATTCAGCTCCCTTTATATTACCAGTTTTAACTGAGTAAGAGCATATTGTTGCATGTTTGTTTGATTTGTGCTGTCTCTCTGAGATCTAGACATGGATGGCATTTATGAACACTGAATCTATTTTTAACGTTAATATGAAGGATAATCTTCAGGACTTCTGATGCGCTATTTGGCCTTTTCCTCTGGTTTCGTGAACAGAGAACATCAGACATGAAAAGAGAGGAGAGGTGGGAGGGGCTGAGAGGAAAAGAGGAGAGAGAAAAAGGGAAGGAGGGAGCAGCCACTCAGCAGCAGGTTAGTGAAAGCAGCAGCCACAGGAGGAGGAGGAGGAAGAAGTAAGCAGGAGGAGAAACTGGAACGAGAGAAACTGTGTGGCTGCAGTCAGGAGCGACACAAAAACAGGGAGGTGGAGATCTGGAGAGAAGAGAAGGTAAGAAGGCTGCTTGCATTTTCTGTCAGCATTCGCTTGTTTTCAGTGTGAACACAAGCCATCAGCTGCCCGACGAGGCTGGGTGGATCTTCCATTCAGTGAGCATTTCCCCCCCCTTTCTTCCTCCGTCTGCCAGCTGACGGCACGCTGTGTGTGGAGGGAGCAGAGTGCTGTAGCACTGCAGAGAGATGGAGAAGAGCGGGAGGGAGGTGGAGAGGGAGGGCTGCATTACACTCTACAGATAAGAGGAAGTAAAAACAGAGATCTGTGAGGAAAACCAGTGGAAACAGGAAGAAAAAACTGACATCTGCCTCTGCTTTTCTGCATGGAAACGATGGGATGGAATGGTGAGGAGGGAGTGTAACCCTTTCAGCATCTGTGTACAGGAGAGACAGCTGTCAGCATTAGTAGTTCCCCTCCATGTTGGAGATGATATAAGTTTGGGTCTGGCCACACCCTCTGTGAGATGAGATTAGATGATGGGAGGCTCACTCCCAGATGAGTGAGGATATGTGTGTGTGTGTGTGTGTAAAAGGCATGTTGGATGTTGGCCAGACATGCTTAGTTCTGCCTCCCATTCCTGTCAGGGCAGTGGATTAGCTGTATGTGAGCGGCAAAGAGACCAGCAAGATGCTCAATCACAACCAGACTGAGATGTTGTCACTATCAGATCTATCCATGTGTAGATACTCATCACCCACTTTCCTTTTGTTCTTGTTTACAGCCGTTGTTTGGTGTCTGAAACTGAGATGCTAAGTATATTATCAAATTGTGATGTTTATATCCTCAGCATGACAGCATGACTGAGCATTTGTTGTTTCTCTGACCTAGTGCTGAGGAGTTTTCACAGAATACCAGACACTGCCAATAAGAATAAATTTTAAGAGGATGTCTGTAATAATTCCTGAACATAAGCACCATCAGCATAGCAGACACTCCAGATGGCACAGTTTGTGTTACTAGCATATTTAGATATACACAGAGAGGGGCATATTAGCAGCACACAACAACAACAACAACAAACTGCATTACAGGCTGATGACTGACTCCAGCAAACAAAAATACATGAACGGTCAGCCCTATCCTGTACCGACTTCAACATCCCCCACCTCAAAATTATAGCGAGACCATCTGCTGTGATTTAACCCCTTTCTGCACAAGTTATTTTCCTCCAGCCTCAGACTGATTTTATATATAACAGATGCATGTTTATTGGTTAAATCAAAGAAGCAGAGAAATGAATTGTGTAAATGTTTTGCTTGGAAATAGTAGGTGTCAAGTTTAAAAACAGCCTACCTTTGTACTTTTTCCAGCTTTCTTTGTTTCGTCGACATGATAATTCGCAGTCATGTCCTTCCTGTTTGATTCCTATACGCAGTGGTGGTACTGCTAACGGAAAAGTTAGCTGTGCTAACTCTAGAGCACTATTCATAAACATTAGCTCTGCTAAACAAACAACACAGCATTTAGCAGAGGCTAATGCTAAAGCACTAACTTCAATTGAAATTACAACTGTCCTTGACAGACAACAGTCCTCGAGCGGCAATTTCATTTTTAAATTAAAATTTATATGTGCCCAGAGATATTGCATTTGTTTATCTTGTTCTCTTTGCCCATGTTTTATGTTTTCCTCTGCTTATTGTGTGGAAAACCGTCAAACTTCGGTACTTAAATAATTATTTACAGTTGATTCAACGGAGATGTTGAATTTTGCTAAACTAAAAGTTTATTAATCAGCCTTGAATTTATCTGGGAAAATCAATTTAGGAGAAGCTAAGTCTGCTAACCGTTTTTGAAGTTAGCAAAAACGATAACGTATTAGACAGTGGTGTGAAGTATTTGTAGCACTTAAATCCAGATTTCTGTTCTTTTCATTTTATTTTCTCACTTAAATGTTTTATACCAAACAAATGTTCACATCATAAAGTAAACAAAAAAGGGCATTTATAAATGATTATTTTCTTTAAGGATAAAAGCTATCCCAACCTGTCCCCATCTTAAAAACAATTAACTGCCTTGTGGAAACATAATTAATTCAAATTTGTGAATAATCAAATTTTGGCTTTCTTAGCCACACATAGATCTGATTAGTGTATAACTGAGAAATCATAGTAATGTGCATAGAACATAATTTGTTGTTAGAGCGTGTGATTCATCTGCATTTTAGCTAAATTTTTCAGAGAAGTCCTGACGTTCGATAAAGGTTGTCATCTAATCATTTGACTTCTGAGCTTTCTCATGTTAGCATGAGCTGCAGATAAGTCTTTAACTAGATTAGACGCAGAAACATCATTTTTGATGGGAACAAAATCCAAAAAGCATCGTCTTTCAGTTTATTTCTGGATCAGTAACGTCTGTTGCTTTGATGTTGGTAATCATTCTGAAGTGACGGAGCGTGAAAAGCCTCCTTTAGTGAGAGAAACCCAGACTGAATCCTGTATGACTTCAAAAATTTACAACAGCCAAGGTGAGAAAACATTGTTCACATCAGTAAGCATACATTTTAAAATATATATTGTGGGATAAGTTGCATACTGTTTTGGTTAGAGGTTTGTATCCACAAACCGTCAATCCAATATTGACGGTTTGTATCCGTCAATATTGGAGTATTCACGTATTTGAGCATCATAAAATGCAGAAAGGACTTAAATTTGTTGACATAGACTCTGCTTTCAAGCATTTTTTTCAGGAGAGGTTTTATTTTGATTTTTTAAGTGAGCCAAAAATAAAAGTTGTTTCGCAGAGCAAATAAATTGCTCACATTTAGCTGATGGCATCTGTTAAATAAATCAGATTACACTCATAAAATTAAAATAACTGATTTCAGAGTGAATATTTTTTCACCAATAGACACAAGGCATACGTGGAAACAAAGTTTGAAAAAGGATGGTGTCATATAAAGAGCGAAGCAGTAGTTTGTGCCACACGATGGTCATTCAGGGAAGTTTCTTTCCGTCACTGATCAGTCTACCTGTTTTGTTCTCCCTGTTTTTAAGAATAGCTTCCTTCAAATGACACAATGACAGCCTTGAACTTTAGCCTTAAAGTTTACAGGAATACATTTAAAAGCATTCATTTAGAAGAATAGTTTGTTGAGCCTCTGTTATTAATTTATCTACATCATTTCCCTCACATGGCTCTCGTTTAGTTGTTCCCACGGTGACCTCATCACACTGATTTGGCAACAGCATTGTTGATGTTGTCTTTGTCCCAGAATGAACTCAGCAGCAGCATAGTGAGCCGTGACTCTGTTTTGATTGTTCAAAGAAACCACATCCATATAAACATTCATTATTCAGAAATATTAGTGGACCCCAGATTCCAGCTCATTAAATTCACAAGAAGAAACCTTTTGTTTCTTTTCTGGATTTTTTCCCTTCAAGCTTCAGTGGTAATTAAAGACATGATTAAATGATGATCACTCCCAGAGAGATGATGAAAGTGATCTCTTATAGACTACAAGCTATAAGAGAGACTGCAAAATAGTGAAGTTTTCAGAGGGAGACACAAATCTGTGTGGTATTCAAGAGCTGATAATATGGCTGATGAGGAAGGGGATTCTTCCTCCTCTTCCTGTTACAGTTTAAATCACAGGAAAACGATTTATATGTCTTAATGCATATGCATTTTCTGCTCCTTTTAAATAAAATAAATTTGGCAACAATAAAACCTTATGAAAGACTCAAACGTGAGCATGATTTATGTAAAAGTTGGCCAAAATCATATTATTAATCGTCCATTTTACTAGAGGTTCTCTGCATTATAAAACATCATGCTTTAATTAAATTGGCTGTGTTGGGTACTTTCCAGGCACATGGTGCCATTTTATAGAACAATCATGTAACTATGTTGCCTTCAGCAGTTCTAAAAAATATTTATGTCACACATGACTTAGAATAAATTTGACTATCCCATTTGATGCTTTTAAATTGGGCCTCTGTCTCTTTAAGAAGCTCCTGGTCTTTTCCAACACTCCACCTTCAGCACAACATGACAACAATGCTGCTCCATTATGCTATTTACAATAGTTCTTTAGGGCGTTGGACTGAGAAATAGTTTGTATGATGAGCAGCCTTCCTCTTCTAGTTTTCTTTTTTTTTTACCTTTCTCCTAACTTCGGGTAATTTTGAAAGAATGATTTTAAGCAAATTTAATTTCCATCCTGAACCAAAGCAGCTTTAATCCTGATGTAGAAAAGCTGCTTTGTAGCCTAAAGTGGCCGTATACCTCAACATGCTGTGCTGCATATCCATGTTGATGTTTTTAGGTTAAAAGCCCTAAGAATACAACTCTGCTCTGGTAACACACTTATATTTGTCCTAGTTTATGACATTACAGAAAAGTTTGTGTTGAATGTCCTGCAGATACCTTTAAGAAAAAATTGGCATTGGCTTTTACAAAAAAAATTAAAATACATCAACTACTTTCTAAACTTTGAATTGAAATTTAATTGAAAGTTTTATGCATTTTTAGCTGCTAAACAAAGGAATGGGAAGAAACCGAAGTGGCTGTGACTGTAGGAGTTCATCCTATAACCTCTGGGTTGCTGGTTCAAATCCATACTCCATCTATCTCCATCTGACTGTCACTGTGCCATTGTGTCCTTCACCTACTTTGGCTGCAGGTGAGGTGATCAGAAGCACGGTCGAACAGCAGTCTGGCCCCTGTCAGTCTGACCCACGGCCAATTTCAAGCATTAAATTGTGAAGTTAAAATTTCTTTTAAGTTTTGTTTGGTATATACAACATTTTTATAACAAATACAAGTAACACAGTTAGTTGTGCTATGAAATGGCACATAACACTGACCCTTTAAATCAGACTTGTGCTGGCCTCTCCAAAATTTGAACTTTGTTGTCCTTAAGCCTCTTTGCAGGTAATTTGTCAGTTTTGCTTATATTATCCATTTAAATAATTTTTTTGTGCCCAAGCTTTAACTCCTGGCTGATATCCAGAGACACTGTGTCAGTATTTTTCTCATGTTGTTTTCTATCTGTCTTCTTTATTTAGAAATATCTGGTTTCTACAACAAAATAAAACTCATTTGGCTTTAATTTATCATTATTATATTGATTGATTATTCAATTAATCATTATTGAGCACTTTTCACACTAATATAACAGAGTTCTTCTACAAATGTTATAGCAAAAAATAATGCAAAAAGCCCTGTGAGTAGTTAAGAAAAATAATTTTTGAAATTCTAAAATAAAACATAATTTATTAAAAAAACTAAGCAAAATGTCAAACTTTGTTCCAGACTCATTCCTGTTGTTGTTTGAGGACAAAATGTTGATTAATTTGGGATTTTCTCTGTACTGTTCTCTCTGTGCTGCAGTTTTCTACTGCAAGTCACTTTTTTTCACCGACTGTGGTGAATATTGAGCGGTGTTATAGTTATTGATCAGCAGGAGGCTGCAGTGATGCAGTAGTCACTCATGTACTTTTCACATAGAAATATGACTCCACAGAGACCAGTTTGAAAGTAGTAAATCTTCCTTGGTTTTTGACTTTATATGATGTGAATATAAATCTAATGCAAATATCATAGAAAAAATATCTTAGAAAAATGTTTAGCAAAAAGTGACGTAATCTGCCAATAATTAATACAGTTTTCAATTCATATTTAGGAGTTATTGACTCACAACAAGCTCATATTTCTAAGTAACGTTTCTGAAAAGTTACTTTCAGCAAGAAACAGCTCTCTTGCTGAAAGTAAGAAAGTACTTTAAGCAAATTAAGATATTCACAAACTTACTTGTAGTGCAACTAAGTTTGCAATGAGCTTTTCACACTGAATCTTTGAGGAGAAGCACATTCCTAGCATATCTCCCTCATACAGTAATGATGATGTATTCTTTAGGCAGACTGACTCTCCTTTCTTTCAGGTGTACGACAGTGATTGCTTTACAAAGGTTTTTAACTCCAGTTTCACACTAATGCAAAGCCAAAAGAGCTTTGCATTAGTGTGACATAAGAGCTTTGTCTCACTCACGCAGGAGGTGTGAGTGACACAAAAGTTGATTAATATTTTCCTGTTCCCTCCCCTCAGGTTTCCCATCCTCACCTCACTGACACATGAAAGAAGCCATGCCGGTTCTCACAGTAGGAGCGGGTAAGACGACAGCCGGTATGCCGTACTGCGCTCCGTCTGTTTGGGTTCATGTCTACACTGTGTTTCTGTTCTCCACAGGACTGCATGAAACACTGGCCCTGCTGACCTCTCAGTTGCGGCCTGATGCCAACCACAAAGAGGACATGGTTTTCCTCAAAGATGTCTTCAGTGAGAGGAGCTTGGGATACCTCATGAAGGTGAGAAATCCTCCTGAAAAAGACCGTACTGTTTTATTTTTGCTTTTAATTAAAACACCATCACATTAATATTCTTTATTTCCAATGCATGGTCCAGATTGCAGT